AATAGTCCAGTGGTGTTAAATCGCTTGATCTTTAAGTCAGGCCACAGGCCCACGACGAGAGTTTCCTTCAATAAGTTGATTTTTTCATTGGCGATATGGCAAGTAGCCTAGTCTAAGTTTAACTAAGTTCGTGCACATCAACATCCTCCAATTCAAGTACGAAAAGGCATTAATCAAGGCTCTATAGCATTCCCCATTGCAATAACATTATGCCTAGATATTATTTTTGAAGAAATATGGACCCCTGCCCATAAAGCATACCAAACAGAGGCTAATCTGTATACATATGTATAAAAAAATGTTGAATTCGTTTGTATAGATTCGCATACGAGTATCTCAAAAAGTTCTAACCGACACTAAAAATTTTCGGAAAATGGCCCAGAGACCGACCTATTCGGAAAAATCATATTTAGTATTCGAGATGTTTAAAATTCATTTCTTTGGCTTTCTTACTTGAGCTAAAGGCATCCTGAGGCACACCGTCCTTCTCTTTCATCGGGAAATGGACACAAGGGTGTTGAAATATTTCGTTTTGATAAGGATTGTGGTGAGACGTTCATCCATAGGAGTGACTGCCTGTACTCGGCTCCTTTATATGATCGCTGTAGTATGTTTCACAAATAACCACCTACTTCCGCCCTTTTCCCGTCCGTCGCACTTCGTGAACGGTGGTGAGTGATGTTAGCCTTCAGTCTTTTGAGGACATCAATCAGCTCGGCAGTGACACCTTCCCAATTGAGGGACCCGATATTAAAAGTGCATGCCCACAAATCGTGAGATTTTAAAAGTTTTCGAGAGTTGTCGTCAGAAGAGAGGTCTTTTATACGAGGTTTTTTTCTACACATGGTCCCATCCGCTATATATCAGACTCTGTTATCTGCTGTTACTCTCCCATAAAGCGTTCCAAATTTCATTAAAGTCAAATATAGACAGTTCTTGGCATAGTGTCAGATATACTGTACTTTTCCAAAGTTCCCCAACAGAAAATATTTAGCTCAGGTTTATTAAGTCTTAAAAGTTTATTAATTCCCCTTTATTTTATGAGATACGTTAGATCTCCAGTATTCAAAGTCCCATGGTCCTGCTATCTACTGCTACCCCTTCCATCATCTGTCACATTAGATTATAAAGAGCTTCTCGGTAGAATTTCTTCCACTCCTTTGTTTCGTCTTTCTTATGCTCCGAGGCACATTAATAGTACAGACCTTTAAATGTTGTCAATTCATTTTCATTGTTCTTTCGATCTCACATAAATTTAGTAACAGACTCTAAGCACATTTCAATATTTTCATCAAAATATTACCAACTATTGGGTGTGTGTCTGTGCTAAAATATCCTAAATGTAGGCAACGATTTTATATTTATTAATTCACTATTCTATTGTAATATAACCTACCGTTATGATATTTTAGCGCAGACACACACATCTCCTGTGGCAATAACTTAATTTTAAAATAAAATTATTTAAAAAGGGAATAAATGTTAAAATCATATATATATTTACATATATATGTACACGTATGTATGTAATATAATCTAATTTACGTCCACTTCAATAAGCGAATACTTTCCAAACATCAAGAAATCTGAATTAAATTATCACCAAGTTAGTGGAAGCAAAATGATTGTGATAAGTGCAGACGTGCACGCAAATGTCAGAAATCTTGAAAGAAACACCATGACAACAAGTATGACAACTGTGCCATTAAATTTGTGAAGGTGCTACCCACTTTCCGAGAAAGGAGAGCAACTCGGCGTGTGAACACTAAGCACTCGCAGCGCCTCAATCAAGTGACAGTAGATTTCGCGAACATAAATTGTTACCCATTAAATACTAACAAGGCTAATGACAGCGTGTGTGTGTGTGTGTATGTGCGAGAACAACTTCTCAGGTGAAAGCATTTCATGGTTAATGTACAGCGGTTTCGCAAGAGCGCTGCTCCAATTTCGCGACAAACGCCGACATTAACATGCGACGCATTTCAACTTTATGTACTTCGTTGCTTTCGATGCCATTGTTGTTAGTGCAGCTTTTTGTATCACTAACCGATCGGTGCGCACGATAACACGCGCGCAAATCACATCACATTCACCAGCAGGCCAGCATGCAGCCGGCAACAACGCACACAATTGATTGCAATCGATAAATAGCTCACGCGGATCCTATGGGTGCTGGACACTTTGAATTTTAAGCTGAATAAATTCTTGCACGCAAGATACAAACGAACAGAGTGACCGATCGCGCTATGCGGCCCGCTACGAGTAGGTACCCGTGTATTATCATGCAAGCCAAGCCAACTGTTTGCGATAAGCATCTTAGGCATGCAATCGCCACCAACCAATCGCAAATGGCACGAAGATGTGGACTCAGTGATCGCAGCGGTGCAGTCGAAAGTTACAGTCATGCACGTCATTCCTGATCGTGACCATATCAGCTGTGCGATCTTGCGACGATCATGCACGCCTCCCTCATGTGCTCAGTATTTACGAGCTTGTATGTATGTACGAGTATGCAATTCCTGCGTATTCACGGTCTTGTGTTTATATTCCCCCGACCGCAAATTAGTCGGAACATACAATACGTAGTTACAAGCGCCAATCCACGAACGGTGCGTGCATAGCCGTGACGAAATTTATATTCCATCGCTCGTTGGCCGGTGGGTTGATCGGTTTCATTCAACAGCGTGCTAATAATGCCACAGCGGGTTGTGGGTAAAAGTGCGTTTGCTCATGACTCTTTTCTTTGACTTTTGGCTGATTAGTGTTTCGAGCTTTTGAACATTCAAATCGTTTACCTGCAGGCCGAATTTAATGATCGGATGAGATGAGATAACGAATATTGAATGGTTAGCAGTGATGCAAGATTCTGATTTCTGGTTTCGATTCAAAAGTATCGAATTTTATCGGATTTGTTTTTAACGTTCTTTTGCGACTAAGATCTGCTGAGTTACCTAAGAATTAATTGCTCTCTAAAAGCTATAGCCCACTCTTCAGAACGAATCGAACGGGTGTTGCATCTTCGACTTTTTAAAGGGCTGGTCGTTTCGACTTCAACAAGTTGTATATACTACACACCCGACGAATTGCAGCTGGTCCTTAAATGCTCCAATCTTGTTCAGCCAGTGCATCACCCAGAGCCGCCAACGGATCTGTAGCAACCGCAGCATCATTCAATCCTATGCCTCAATCAGTCGCTTATCGTGCGTAAAGATCTCTTAGCATTCGTAGAAGACAGAGCGAAGTACACGCGCACATCAGCCCGCTACACAACAACGCTTCGGTAATAGCAACAGCTGCTGGCAACATGGCCATGTTGCTACAATTATTATAGCCTTCATCACCGTTCTTGCTGTTGTTGGCGGCATATTTGCTGCAGTTAACGCGCCAGTCGAGTTGCCAATACGCCAATTGCCGCACCACATATTCGACAGAGGAAAATCTTAAAAATACCCAAATAAAACAACAACAAAAACGAGGCACTATAAAGTGCCAAGTGGCAGAACGCGTTGATTGCGCTTATCTCTGCAACGCGATCGTGATCAGAACGCCTTCAAGGCGGACCGTCGTTCAAGCGAACGAACGCCAGCTCGTCAAGTCAACAACAGACAAATCGACTGAACGACTCGCTCAGCTCAGCAAAAAATCGTACGAATGCGAAATGCACAGTTGCTCTATTTTAAGTTCATCGTCAGATTGGTTGCGTGTTTCACATGCCACAGACAACTGTGCGCGTCTCGTGTGATGCTAGCGTCATTCGCTGGTATGCCATGCGACATGCCGGTGAAAATTGCTGCAGTGTATTGTTGCTTTGCCGTTGTCTGCAACTCTCTACCGTAGCACATCATCTCGCTGGTGCGTTGCACGTGTTCATTGCAACTTGGCAGTGCACGCCCGGTTTGGTTGCTGATTAGTTGTGGCGTGTGGCTGACTATTGCTCAGAGTTGATCAAATAGTAATACCAAACTTAACCGTCTTCAAGGTTATAGAGCAATCATCTATATTCCGACGAGTATGCGAATAAGTTCATATAGTTTGGACAAAGAGGAGTTGAAGGGTTATTTTTACGGACTTAGTCCCAGGGCCGCATTGTTGTTGTAGCAGTTTGTTTACCAGCGCTGCTTAGTGGCTGGTTAGATTAGTCTAAATCATCGAGGTCATCTAATAAGATGTTCAGGAAACGAGCTGTTTCGACGGGTCCAGACGCGACCAGAGAGAACGGGTGGGTTAGATGAGTTGGTTTAAGGGACATGCAGAGAGGTGATTAGTGTCATGCAAGGACTCATTACGAGCAGGATATATGTTAGGTATGTCGGCGTCAAGTCTGAATAAGTAAAAGTTTTGTCTACTACAATATCCAGTTGTGCCGAGGTTCTACTGGACTCTCGAGCACTATGTCTGAAATTGATGATGGCTTGGCTATGAAAGCGACATTCACAATAATAGAGTTCAGAAAGGTGATGACGGACTCTCGGTGAATGGCATTTATTGCCTGTAGGTTAGCCGCCCTGCCCAGTGGTTGTTGTAGATGGGGCTGAATTCAGTCCTTTAGATGAAGAACTCTCTTTCTAAAGAGCGTGAGTGGTTGTTCAGTTTTTAATAAGTGTATGCTGGGGTGTTGCCTACGGTAGCATTTCAGCAAAAATTGCTAGCAAAGCAAAGCTTTGTGCTCCTTAACTCGTAGCTTCGATGCTTTGACGACATCAAAAGGTTTCCTTTCGCTGTACTTAGTTCAATTGCGTCTCGCTAGTGAAAGGAACCCAGATCGGTGCAGCATGGCTTGCGACGTATCCTCTACAACAACAACAACAACCAGCCGGCCAATTACCTTGTAGGTTGCCAGCAACGTTTCTTTAGCATTTGGCACGGCTGACCTGATTTTTCTAAAAATTCAGAAAAATATATTTTCTAAGAGATTGAATAATAAGAAAAATTTCTTGTGTTTTTAAAATCTCCGAAAAAAATTCCTAGCAGGTACTTTATTCTACATAAACTGGTAACTCTGATAGAAGCTCTATGTTTCACACAGTCCGGCAGGGCAAACAAACAGCTGAGATAAAAACAGATGTTTCTAATTTGAAATAAAGAAAAATTGTACGCAAATCAAAGAGTTAATTGGGAAGATAATGGAAAAGTGCCTAAAAATCCGCGAATATTTGCCAAAATATGAGCAAATCAAAAATATATTGGAAAATGAGCCTGAAGCGAATTACATACTGCAAATGGCGGCTGCCGACATAGAGAAGCCACTTGTAACGGGTGAATTCAACGAGGAAATGTATTATTTAATTTGTAGCTTAACGGATAAATGCTGGGAACGCATACACACTGGACACTTTAGCGAAGTGTCGTTGGATGTCCGTAAAACTTATACTTTAGCAAATTACTACAAAGTAATAATCACAAGATTAATTTTTTGCATAATCTATAATATATATAATTTTAAAAGATATTCTATCTCCTATGTGAAGGTGTTTCCCAACAACAATTAATGCGATGTACCGAGATACTTGACGAAGCAATACTAATAGGTTGTACGCAAGAACTGTATAGTAAAAGTGATGAGTTCCAAAATCAACTGACTGAGTTCGTTAGTGAGTTTTCAGGTAGCTATAATTAATTTAAATTTTTAGTAACATCTAATATGACCAGACTGCAAAATAGGGGAATTATCTCGACGCAACTTTATTTTTTATGAATCTTAATATTTTTTTTTATTAATAGATGACGTGTCAGAAATACCATTGCCTATTATCGAAGAAGTCAAGCGACAAGACTACAAATGTGACATTCCTGTTTTGGATTGCCCTACAGTTGAAAACTTTCGAACGAAATGCTTTATTTCTGAGCAGCCTGCGTTACTGCTAAACACCTTCATGCATTGGCCCGCTATGCAGAAATGGCGTGATCTTAATTACTTATTTAAACTAGCAGGTAATCGCACAGTTCCTATAGAAATTGGGGCCAATTACACAACTGATGAATGGTCACAGCAGCTGGTAAAAATACGTGATTTTTTACGACGACAATTCACGGAAACCCATCATGAAATTGAATATCTCGCACAACATGAGCTCTTCGATCAGATACCAGCTCTGAAAGCGGATATACGCATACCAGATTACTGTAGCATACACTCGAAGAATTCTTACTCAGAACAAGTTTCTATAAAAGCCTGGTTGGGTCCTAAAAATACCATATCACCGTTACATTATGATCCGGAAAACAATTTATTATGTCAAGTATTTGGTAGAAAACAGATAATATTAGCTGCACCAGCAGATACTTCGAAGCTATATCCGCATGAGACGGAAATGCTTTGTAACACCTCGCAAATAGATGCCGCACAATTGGATTTTGAACGATTTCCACTTGCTGCAGAAGTAAAATTTTACAACGTTACCTTGCAAGCAGGCGATTGCCTTTATATGCCGCCTAAATGGTGGCACTATGTACGGGCAGAAAGTGAGAGTTTCTCAGTTAGTTTTTGGTGGTCGTGAATATAGTGGAAAATGTATATATGCATACATTTTTCATATTTGTGAATAAATTAGATAATGTATCAAAATACGTATTAATAACTGAATTAATAAACAACCGCCTTATAAAAGTGCTATATCGCTATATTTGTTTTTGTAAATTTATTAGTATGTTTTGCCACATTTAGTTATCAATTTTTTGAGAACCAAAAAAGATTATTATGATTCATGACAAAAGCATTGGCTTAAGCTATAAGAGATAATGATGAAATTGTTGGACTTAACTTATATATTTAAAACTGGTTTTTTTTTTAAATATATACATAACATCGCAAGTTAATACAGCAGATGATTCATCATTGACGAAGTAATAAAATAAAGCTTACTTTTATTTCAAATTTGACTAGATAAACATATTTATAAGAGTGATTTAGTGACGAAATTTTGAAATAAATTTCCTGCATCTTGAATAACGACGCAATACAAAAAAATTAAGAAAACCGAAGTATGTATGTTATTTATCATATTTATTAATTATTCATAATTTATGTATACAAAAAGCAAGAAATTAAAAATACTTTCATATGAGAAATATTTAACCAACACGTTATTTATAATTTCTTAAGGAAACTACAAATCAATTAGAGAAACAGTTTTCTTGTTCATTGATATATTAACTTTGTTATTTTTATAGTACATATGAATATAAAAATTTATAAGTAAATCTAATTAATATAATTCGCTTTCCGTATTATTTTAGATATATACTTTTAATTTAGATCAACTCATCACTTGTTATTGTAACTTTTAAACTTCTCGAGATATTGATTTAACGACAGTCCATTAAACAGTTAAGCTGCTTTTCCCAAGGTACACTTGATATTTTTACTAGTTGTAGCAAAAATATATACCTACAAATATACTTCAAATGTTTAAATAGGTTTCAGGATGGACTACTCAGCTTATTTAATCGTCCTTTTCGCCTCCTTTGCCACCACTACCATGATCACTTATTGTAATCTTTTTTTGCAACTTGCTGTACTCATCGGTGAGTCTGTCGTATTCCTTGTTCAAGCTTTCGGCTTGTGATTTTAAAGCCTCCTTATCCTTCTTCTCGCGATTTAAGTCGGCGGTGAGTTCTTGTACTTTTTTTCGCAATTCATTGAGCTGAAAGTGATTGTGAAAGTGACAGTTGCTTAACAATTTTGTTTTTGTTTTGTGTCTTGTTTAAAATTAAGCCCGATACTATTTGCATTTGTCTATTGTTTCTTTAACTCTACTTTTAAAATGGATTATGCAAATAAACTTGCTTAATAATTTAACTCAGGCTGGCACAGAGTCCTTGTACACGTCTTCGCAATTTTAATATCTGTGTAAGACATCCCCGAAAGAGCAAACGGGGAAAAAGGATAGATATAAGAAGTTCATTCTTCAAGAGATAAGTCAAGTTTGCATTGGCGTTTATACAAGCGTAAGAAGCGTTATAAAAACAGTTGTATTTTACATTTGAAAATCCAAAAGTTGTCTTTGTGGCGAAAAATCGTTTAAACATATATAGTAGGATTTTTTAATTTTTTATAGACATAGCATTTCTCTGGAAGCACGAGTTTCTTATAAAAAGCTAGATATTAGTGATTAACGCAAGCTATTTCCAAATCATTTCTAAAACTAAATTGAGTAAATATCCTTACAAAATATTTCAAAATTCATTTACTCAGTGAAAAATACTCCAAAATAGTGTATCTGCAATTTTCTGGGCACAAGAACTCATTTTTGTACAGCCACAAGCCAAAACAAGTAACAAATAATAACAATTTATAAATAGCAAGCTTACCTCATTCAATGTGGTGTCCTCAGTGGCTTCCTTTGCCTTTTCGGTACTCTTTTCGGCCATAAGTGTCCGTGCTGCTGCTGTAGCACTCTGTGCCTGCTTCATTGAAGCCTCACTTTGTGCTAACAAGTTTGCCTGTGCTGAAATCAATGTAACTAAACGGCGTATGACCAACACAAGGAATATAGCAAATCCGGAAATGTAGAAATTGCGTTGTGCGCGGAAAAGACGCATGCTATGCTGCATTTCCACATTCAAATGTTCGTGGCCACCGGGTTCATGAGTTGAATATTTCCTCATTTCGCGTATGGCATCCAAAAGGAAGAGAATTAACACACCCATTATCAAGAAGAAATAAAGGTGTGCCTGCTGGGCTAACATCGCCAAAAATTTGGATTTGAAAAGTCTGTTCCATTTGTATGGGCTGGCTACGGGTAGAACCAGTAGGAGAACTACAACAATTTCTGCGTACAGAAATGTTGCAATCAAAGTCCAGACGAGACTCATTTTGCTGCTTGACGATTTTATGGGTTTCTGGAACAAATTCTTGGTTTTTCAGTTGATGAGCTGTAAATTTTCTGCCCTAAAATAAAAACAAAATGACTTGGTTTGAGGATACACTATAGCTTAAGTTTTACGCTTATCCTTTCTTTTGTACTATTTTTAGCTTATTACCCTAGTAATTTAAATATCTTACTTTTTATAGATTAAAATTTGTGAAAATTTAGAACTGCGCTGCTGCTTTCGCCTCTGCTTTGGTTGAAGTTCAGTCGATGATGTGTATTTCTACGGGCGCTCTTATTAAACTACAGTGTACTTTTTTTAATACAATATCGAGCTTTAAGTTCAATGAGCGTAAGCGGGATAGCAGGAGTTTTAGCGGTATAAGTTGCTAATTTTCCTTACCGTAGACAGGGTTGCATTAAACTGATAATTGGCGTAAAATGTGGTGCTGTAATGATTTTATTTTTTAACGTTAATAAATAACGTAACAATTTTGGCATTTACCACCGTTAGCAGTGGGAATGAACGCATATTCATATACGTTCTTTGGTATTTGTAAAGCAGCGCGGTACGTAAGATGACTAGTTGCAGCATTAGGCTTTTTCGCCGCATTACTTAGCATCTGATAAGAAGAAGTAACCGAATACAATCAACTTATTTCCATATGTTTTGCTCATATTTCGAAACTCAGCTGTTATTGTGTTTGTATTATATCTTTCTTTTATACTCTTTTCTATTTATTCATTATGATAAATTGAAAAATTAAATTATTGAACAAGTAAAAATAATAAAATAATACTATGAACGAGGGAGTCATGGTATCCAGCTACGAAAATTTCTTTGGTGGTTCTGGTTTGGTGAGCCATAAAACAATTTGTTTAAAACTAATGTTAATTTGAACTACTCTAAATAAATTATAGCCATCTGAATTGGCTGTAGAAATGGCGGCTGCTACCACCATGCATGCAGCTACCGTCGCAGATTGCGATAAAGATACATTGCCAACACACTCGCGACGTTTTACAAATCCCTCGAACTTTAATGCATCATTTGTGAGCTCAGGGGATTGTACAGCACAGAATATAGTTCCTGGGCAAATAGGATTTCCGTGCAATACCAACAATAATGTTGGTCATGTTGGTGGAAATAGCATTTCTAACTCAAGTTTTAACCAAATCCCCTTTGTACAAATTCATACAATTAATGTGCAGCCACAGAGTGCATTCAATAGCACACGGTTTCGACGTAATGCATCTAGTAATCACGAAGAGATTAAGGCGGAACCAATAAAGTCAGAAAATGCCGAAAGTACCAAAGAGCGTGTAAATGCAACACCTACTCCGCCAAGCACTTCTCAACAGCGGAGTGAATGTCAAACAACAAAAAATTTGGTTCAAAATGATACGGTCGTTTACTCAGTGAAAAACGGAAATGTGAGTATAGACACTACTCAGAAGAGCCCGAACGATGTTGATGCTGAAAGGACAGAAACATGCGACACCGAAGCAACATCTCTTACTTATCCTAACATCTACAAATGCCAACATTGTACTTTTATATGTTTGTGTGAAAGGGATCAACAACTTCACTTAGAGGCTACACATCAGGGAAACTTTAGTGTTTCTCGAGAAAACATAAAACGTACAAAGATAAATTGTCCTGGTAAGTGTTTTTATATTTAGTTGTACAGTTTTAAAAACGTTTTGGAAAAGTGGTAAGGTGCTTGATCCTGTGAACTTCAGTTCACTATTAATCTCAATTCTGTAACACATTAACCACTTGCTGTATTTATGAAATTCAATTGAGCAAAATAATAAGCATCCCGAAAACATACAAAATACACATTTTCTATTTATAGGTTGTGAAAATATTTTCTACGCTTACACAGTTGTGGAGATACATCTCCGTGAAGATCATTTAATGTCCGAACACGATGTCCTAGAGCTGATGAAAAGAATAAAGAAATATAACGATGCCAGAAACGAGAAATATTCCGATTTAACAGCTGCGACTGACACTTCAACCAACGCAACTCAGCGTCGAAGCCGGATATATTTAAAGAATGTAGAATGCTTGCGTGAACCGAATAGAGATCCAATAGAGCAACAAGACAATTTAATTAGCGACACCTTATTTCACTTTGATAACGATGATTGCAATCCGTTAGAGAACATTGGTAGCATAAGCATGGAGGACCAGGACCTTATAGGTATGCTTACTAGCACCGAAACAACATTTAATAGCAAACTAGATCACAATTTGGACAACATTACCAATGAAACACTAGTATCGAACGTGGAAGCAAACAGTTCGATAAATCGACCGAAACAAAAAATATCCATCAAGAGTGTTGACGTGTTAAGAGAACCGTCCTTAGTACGCCGCGATTATGAGATGCAATCTTTCGGCGATTTTATTAATACATGTAGTGATTTAAGTTTGCATATAGCTAACAACAACAACAACAACATTAGCAATATCAGCAAAGAAGTTAATGACTCTGATAAGAATAACAATGGAAGAGTAAGCGATGACTGTGAGCAATATAAAAATTATGCTGCAGCTTCAGATAGAGAATTATTGGTTGGTACTAACAGCGAGACAGGCATTGTCGAATTTGCAAATGATTTTGTGAGACCAAGGAGACCTAAAATTTATATTAAGAACGTTGATATACTGAAGGAGCCAATGACATTTTCGGACAATAACAATGCCACCATCATCACGGACTCCACTAACAACAACGCTATGAATTTCAATTTTATGCCACCAACAATACCGCAAACTACGAATTCCTACCTTGACCCGGTTGATGCCTTGAATGCAACAGTACCCCCATTTAACGGTGGCATGTCACAGCTCGCACTGGGAACCATATCGGACCAATATCTCTTCGATGGCGGTAGTGCTAATTTTTTGATAAATAGCGTGGTGCCTACAAACGATAATTACACTTACGAGAGTGAAGAAAATTCCGAAAACTTTTTAACAGACAGTGATGGTTTTACTGATCCAATAACACCGATTGTAACCGAACCCGCACCGTCATCACCTCCCGTTGCTACAAGTATCAGCAGCACAACTAATTGTATGGCAAATGCTCAAATCCCACAGAACACTTCCGCTTCGACAAACATACAAAAACAGAAAATTTTCATAAAAAATGTTGATATTCTAAAAGAGCCACAATTCCAGGAGCCACGCGGCTTATTACATTTGCGTACCGTTGACGAACTGAATTTAATGAACAGAAAAGAAGTTGAAAACTTGATAGCACCGAATTTAGAAGGCAACCAAACAAATCCACCCGAAGAGGAGTTGACTGATAAATTTGCACACTTAAATAATACAAATGGAGAACCGTTATCTACAATTGAAAATTGCAACGATGCCAATGTAATTGAAGCTATCTCATATGACTGTGAAGGCTTCAAACTGAACGAGTTTTCAACACAAAATGGCTGGCACGACGATTATGATTTGGGTGAAGACATCAGAGATATCATAACTAGTACGATGGCGCCAAGTGTACCGACATCACAAAAGGTCATACATGAATTGGATACACCGCAAATATCATTGATATCGATACCAGATATGGAAGACCTTAACGGAGCAGGGGTACATTTCAATGCTGAATCATTGACAGACGTTGAAACTAACTTGTCAGCAAATGTGGATCATCATCAAGTTAATACAGATTTCACGTTTGATTGCGAAGTCATAACAACTGATAATAATATTCCTGAACAAGTCTGCAGCTCAGATAGTTTCGTCAACCCCATTGTCGCTTGCAATGACGAACCGCAATTAGCAGCCGAATCGACGAATGTTGTTCCTTTAGAAAGCACTAATGAAGTAATGAAAAAGGAACACCTAATACAAAGCTCCTCTGCAGAAAACATTGATAATGGTTTGCCACAGAAATCGAAAGCAATCAACTTTGATGACATTCCGCCACTTACTTCAATGAGTTCGGCAACCTATACCACAAACACTACAATAAGTACATCGGCAACAATTTCTGTTCCAAGCGGCTTGCCGGTGCCGCCACTGGTGCCAATGCTACCACCGATTCAATTTCCAAAAACTGTAGCTGCCCCTACCGCTAGCACCGCCACAAACCCAACGGAACGCGGACGCATTTATGTAGCAAACAATTTAATGCAAAAACCAAACACCAACTTACAATTGAAAATTTCTTCTAAAAATGCGAGAGATCTCGAAAAACAACAAGCAAAAACACCGATTGCAGTGTCGGTAATGGGTGGTACTTCAGTGCGTGGTCGACCGTTCGGCTCAAATCGTACTGGCATTACGAAACTCCGCAAACACCCACCAATTGAAAACGGTGCAGGCATATACCTAAAATGTACAGTTGCTGGGTGTGCATTTCGATTCAAGAAGTCGACCACATTGGACTACCATATTAAATGCCATACCAGGTATGGGTAACTTTTATATACATACAAACATACATTCATAACTTCATTATAAAAAAAATTTAAGATGGTAATTTTTTAGCATACTTTTAGGAGGAGCAAGCGCGTGCTGATGCTGATACATATGCTAATATACCTATATGTATATAACAAAACTAGTACATCACATACATATATATGTTTTCTAGTCAGAGATTCTCTGAACTATAGGAAGAGCTGATGGCTATGTTAAATGATTCGCGTTAAATGCATAAGGGTTATTGATTTACGCCCCTCCCTGATATTGTGCAAAGATCAGGCAAAGTTTGTGAAATTTTTTGTGGAAGACTGAAAAGGCGGGTGAGCTGCCGGTTTTGACTATTAAATTTGTTTATTATTTGAGATTTTCAAACGGCAAAAAAATAGTGAAAATTCAAAATTACGGCTACAAAATGGCGCTTTCCGTCGGCCTCTGCGCGAAAAACATGGCTCAAGAACAATTTGAAGCCTACTTGCTTCTAGTAGTAGATTGAAATCAAAAATCGTTGTCATTACTTGAAGATCAGGAAAATTTCTACGTCCTGAACCTCAATTGAAACAATTTTAACGATAAATGTATTGCATAATGCTCATTGCAATTAAAAATTTAAAATTTTTTTGCTACTTTTTTCACTTCAATTACGTTAAAAAAATATCTAAATAATCAATTATTAATGCTAATCTTAGGTTCAAGACGTACAAAAAACTATATACTTTAGATAAAACAAACCGGACATATGGATCAAACCCGAGGCTTGAAGTTAGCTCGGAAAACACGGTTTCGAGAAAAACCCGTTCAAAGTTTTTTGAAAGCTTGCCTTGCGTGCGTGCGTGCGTGCGGCAGGTGTGTTCGAGAAGCTGCCATTTGAAAATTTCTACAAATATATGGCTTGCGTAAAAAATTGATTTTTTTTATCCAAAATCAGGGGACGGTCCCCTTAAAGCTTGATATAAAACTGTTCCTGAATTCTGTGTATACTTGAGAGCACGTATATAAATATTTATAATTTAATAGTATTTTTCAAAAATTTTCGGTCTTCTAGCTATTGGATTCGTCATATGTAGTAGGTTAATTATTTTTCATTGACCGAGCGTTCGGATTTTACTCAGTAGCTTCCATTGAATCTTGCTAGGCGAGCTCATTGACATATTCTGCCATTTACATTGGATATAACTATAATTTTCTTATACCAGTTACTATTTTTATTATTATTGCTATCTAAAACTCTCTACACCGTTAATTAATAACACATACATATGCATTTTATTACAGTGACCCGAACCCGCCGTCCATGGTATGCCCGGAATGTAAAGCTTCTTTTACAAACTGGAATTCACTGCACACACATCTCTGGCGAGGACATAAAATCGATATGGAGCTTTACAGCTGTGAATTGTGTAGCTTCAAAACTCCCATTTATTCCCGACTACTAAATACACATTCCAAAATTCACTACGAAGAGCGCAACTATAAATGCGAACAGTGCGAAAAAGCTTTCAAGAATACAAAACAATTGAAAAATCATCGCCGTTGGCATCGTAATCACAATAAATCCATAATAACAACAATATCACCATCTTCATCAGCGAAAAAATGTGAAACTTCTAAAAAAGCGAACGCAACAGTTTCTCAAAATGACCAAAAGGACACAGAATCGCAGTTACCCTCAGCATCTAACACATGCACAGCCAATACTACAACAGTACCTGTAACAGTATCACGAGACTTTCATCGTTGTAAAGACTGTGATGCTGTATTTTCACACCAAAAAACATTACGCGAACATTTGTGCAAAAATGCGTCTGCGGCCGTGCAATGTACGATATGCGAACGCGTACTTACGTCCCGCTCGTCTATTAAGTTGCATATGCAATCACACGAGCCCTCGCATCGATTTAAATGTAACGCCTGCGAATATTCAACGAGTGATCATAACGCTTTTCGACGCCACAAAATGACCCACGACAATAATGCTAAGATGTATGCGTGTGCACACTGCAACTACAAGTCAATACAAAGCGTGTCATATCAGGTAAGCCCACACATGTGTACGTATATTTTGCTATGGAGCAGGATTATTCTGTGCTCCTTGAAGTTAATCTCGACTTTGGTGTAGAATGGAACAAAGGCTTGTCGAATGAGGAATGATTCACACAAAAGCCACACAGTTTTTTTTACCGTCAGACCCCAAGGACCGAAAATACTCAATTAAGTTTATCACACTGCGGCCGGAACGACCCGTATTGTTATCCTACTAAAGACCCTTACTCAAAAGCACCGAAGTCCCTCTTTCTACTTGGGTTAAAAACCTACGAGTAATCTTAGACAGCAAACTTACCTGGAACCTACACACGATAGAAAGCTGTGAGAAAGCTACGACCGTACTCTACACCTACAATGCGACGATCGGAAAGTGATGGGGACTAAGACCACATATTGTGTATTGACTATACAAGCTGATCCATATTATTATATTCTAAGCAGTTACTGTCTGTTGGCCAGTACTAGACAAGGCTACCTATGGGAGCAAGCGACCTCCATACCCACTGCAGGTATGCTGTCCTCAACTCCTACGAAAGCCCTTCACATTCTATTTAATCATCTTACGTCAGATCTATACGGGAAACTCTACAGCACTCTAAAAAGAGGTGGACCGATTCCCTATTCTGTTTCGAAACTATTTTCCCAACTATTGTAAAATCCCACAGAGGAGCGAGTGGGAAAATGCAGCAGTTCTAAATAATATATCTATAGCCGTCTCCACCGCCGCCACTAAACTAGATGGCAAAGTACCTATTGCTATAAAATTAAGTAAAATGGCTTTCCGGCTACTGCAGCGCATTCCAAGCGGAACTAGCCGCTATCAAGCCGCTTTGTGGCTGTTTGTTTCTAAAGCATTAACCCAACATATTACAATATATTCCAACAACCGGCTGCCTTTTAGAGTCTCCAATGCAATCATACCACCTCAAAGGTGGCAATGAAATGCAGAGAGATCTTAAGCAAACTCTCGAACTGGACTGAAAGGAAACAGTCCTAACCACGGTAAACTCTGCATATGACGTGGGATTACTGCTTTTCTCGGTATCTACTAAGACTAGCCTCAACAGAAGGTCCAGCAGGAGATGAAGATGAAGAGCGAAGCCACGTGCAATGTGACAAGACAAATGTTACCATTAATTGAGACCGAACTAAGTCTCTACTCATTCTAAACCGCACATCCATGAGCATAACAACCGTCGTATTGAGACTCATGTTAGGAGAATGGTTTGCTCTTCAAACGACTTCTGTCGTCGGTGAAAGGAATCACATTAGCAGGACCAACATAGGTATGACAACAGGCCAATAGGCCTAAGTGCGCTTGTTCAGGACTCCATGATCAAGCAACTGGTTAAACTAACTAACTAAATGAAGATCAAGAAGCATTTTCGATCCACTATTTTCCCCAATTTTTAAATATTTCCTCATTTTTCTAGTATTACAATTGTGTATTATAATTGAGTGGAAATTAGCAAAGTTGATTTGAATACTCAAGATATTTACCTAAATTAGCGTGCAATGTAAAAAATTTAATATCTAAAATTTATTTTTTTTTCTTACAGAAACATGTGCGGCAAAAACATCCCCAAGTGGCCGATTCGATCGTTTATAAGTGCAAAACATGTTCATATTCGACCATAAATAAAGCTTTAATCGATATTCATCAAATTAAACATGAAAATAGGAGTGGACCAAAAGAAGGAACTACGGCAGCGGCAGTGACAATGGAAATCGACTTGGGTGGCGTTGAGAAATCCAAACAAATCAGCCATAATACCGTCAACAATCCTGCGGCACAGAAAACTAAAATAAAAGTTAAAAGTCACCTGGTACTGACAACCGCTTCTGATTCGGCAACGGAATATAATGATTTGTGCTTAGATGCAGTAACTATGCCGGCGTAGTAAATAGAGCCAAGTGATGGCTTGTAAAAGACATTATGTCGCCACATGTACATAGATATGTATATTACAATAACAAATCCATTTTTAACTTTGTATTTAAGTTTATTTGAAAATTTGATAAATTACTATAAGTTTATCATGTGTGTATGTACATATGTACGTCAACTAATATGATGAGGATGTACAAATGTTTTGATGTAATTATGAGTATGTAAATAGTTTAGTTTACCAGACATACGCCCAACGACAATGCTAAGGAACATACATATTACTAAATCACGTTATTAGTATTATTTATATTCGACTTTCGGAGTTTGTGGATTGTAAAATTGATTAATTGATTGATTGATTGATTGATTTGTTCAGATAATTACTACTCTACTAGAAGAAGTATAACAGTTGAAAATCGGTTTTCTTAGTTGGGTGTCGAAGCATTGTCGTTGAGCACCTTTTTGATACCGGCCTTGCGGCTCTGTTTTTTGTAAAATATCTACGTATATGTATGTAGTAATGATTTTTTTTAAGTTTTTATTTTTTTTTTTATTTATAAATTGGTAACCAGTTTATCATGTATGTATGTAAGTACTGCATAGGATTTAATTTAATATACTTATACAATATATGAGAAATATGAGAACATTTTGATATACAACAAATGTATGTGTTTGTGTTTAGTTATACTCGTACATACATATATAACAATGGCTGAAGATGTTTAATTTCTTAGTTTCTTAATCAATTATTCTTTTAATCTACCAACTTTTCTCCATATACAACTGGCATCTCGGCTTGTAGCCGCAACAAACGTACATACGTTACCAAATTCCAGTCTTCTGGATCATCACCATGTTGTGTGAATGTCGAAGAGTATGAAACTAATTCCTGTGAACCATCCATATCGAAATCGGCAATTAGCATGGAGTTCTCCTGATTGTTTAGATCCGGTTGACATATGACTTCGTTATGATCGTTGCGACAGAATTGTACTATATTGCTTTGTGACGTATTTTCAATGCGAAAATCGGCGCCAACAAAAATGACGAGCATTATAGTTTCGGTAATCATTTGCATTTTGTAATTATTTAACAGTAAATTACTATTACTACTGCGACGCAAGCGTGTGGCATTCTGCTCCGCCAACGGAAGTGTGTAGGTATGTCTCTTTTGTATGAGATGGTCAAATGCGCTAAACGTATTTGTAGGGAACTCATGTACGTGGTCTTCTGTGCCACTCTGACGTTTCGTTTTATTGGTTGTGATATGATTCTGTTTGGTTGCCTGCACATTGCTATCCTTGCCTGTATGCGCTTTTGCCTTTTTATTAGCATTCAATGCGGCCGAATTACGTACACCGTTCGCAGTTGTGGACATATCTTCTTTCGTTGGCGTGGCGCCCTTTTGATGGTTCCATTTCCAGAATTTCATTATGAAGCCAGACATTTCATTTTTCGTGTTTTTGAAATGCCACTGTGCCGGCACCATGCCGTACATAGCTGGATTTGTGAAGTTACGTAGTACAGTAGTCTTGTTGCCGCGTGTCTCTCGTAGTACGAAAGTGACGTTGCAGTCATCTGGGCATTTGCCGCGATTTTCCACTACCAGTTCACGTCCACTGAGTGAGTAAATGTTGCGCTGGGCGTCAATCTCTTTGCGCTGGCCATAGTGGCGGTGCTGGGCAATTTTGGACGCTGGCAAAAGTTTTTGCCCAGTTGCAATTGATTTGTTAGTTATTAATGCATATAATTCGGCCAGACTTTTGGAACGTTGAGCCTCGGTGTTATTTCGCCAGCAATTGAATGTGATTTTTTGAGAATTCTCCAGCTGCAGTTTATGTAGTATGTCACAGTCTAGCACCTTAAAGCCATCCCCCATCGGTTTGCCATTGCGTCCAGAGAGTATACGCAAAAAATTTCTTTCCTCAACTCGATGATTTCCTGCTCTTAGCTCACCCTTGTTGACGAGGTTGCGTGTTCGCATTTCGTAGGGAACGCTGGTCACCATTAGTATCTCTAAAATGCCATCACCATCTAGATCCGGCAGTATTACAGGAAAGTCCACCGCAGCTACTCTGTGAGGGGAACGTTCTTTGTAATGCCAATGCCAATTACCGGAAATGGGATCTATTGCACCCAATTCACCGAATTCATCCAACACCAAGCAATCAGAACGGCCATTATGATCGACGTCAATCAGTGTACAATCAATCGCAACTGGCTCATCAACCATTTCATCATACCAGGCTACAGCACCAGAGCTGCCTATTAGCGAAATAATACCATTGCGTTTCGCATTATTATTATTAGGGAAGAAGGCATCACCACGATATAAGAATATTAAATTATTCTCCCAACTGCGTAGCCCCCCCACAATGTGTACACCTCCTTTAAGCTCGATTCTAGTGTAATTATTCAGCCAGTTATGTGTACGTACTTGATCTACTGGCGCCGGGCACGCCTGATTGCAGGGCACTAACCGTATGAAACCCACAACAGTAAATAGGCATAAAAGCAATGAAAAAACAAAGCAGCAACGTCGCTCTGGTGACATCGGCTCATGGGTACTAAGATCCTTTGAGCTGCTGCGACCCAAAATTGCCACATTATCAGCATCAATATGATTGCGCTCGTCATAGTCACTGTTAAAGCTGGAAAAACTGCTGGCCTGATCATTTATGCCTATATCGGACATCATCACGGATCTAAAAGTGTTTTGCATATTGGTTGTGTAACTACTGGGCTGGGTGAGTTGCGGTTCCGGACTTTGATTTTGTACTGCGTCCTTTCCTAAAAATAAAACGCACATGAAAATATTTTGAAATCCACAAAAATAAATGCACATAAATTAATATGAGAAAGTAAAGATATTTTTTATATAAATATTTAAATATGTAAATATATATGTACATACATACGAGTATGTCGTACTGTAGGTCCATCTATTTGTTGGAAAGACATCAATTTTTAAATAAATTTTTTATAAATTTTACGTTCGTTCGGTGAGGCTTCGATCCCATGACCTTCCGCATAGTAGTAAACACTGTACACTGTATACACATAAATTTTATCTAAATAGGTCTTTCGCTGTTATGTTTGATATATAAAATTAAATTGGTACAGTTTACTACAAGCCAATCCCTAAAAGTATGCTATAATTATGTGAAATGTAACAAAATTCTTGATGGTATTGCTTTGCTTGCAATGGAAATGTTCCAAGTGTGAATCAATTTACACACACACATTTGCTTGAATAGAACTACACATGGTTTTAAATGACGTCTTCTCTTTTTTCTTTCGTTTTAGAAACTTTGGCTACCTTAATGGAACTAACATATAAAGTGGTTCCTTGATATGAAAATACAGTTCCGAAAAATTTAGGCAAGAAAAAATTCAAACCAATTTTAGCACGTAAATCCGCATATGCATATATGTATATGTTTGGATGCAAAAACATATCAAACATATTTATACACACACACACCCACGTGAATATGTGAGTTCACGTGTGTATGTATGTACATACAAATAATTACATTAATCCAATTATAAAGTTTAATCCAAAAAACTTATCACTCCCATTCAACGCCGCCATTTACCTGTAGCAGATGTGAATTGTGCTGTTTTTAAGTTGGTGTGGTGCATCCGCAGTGCAAGACTTTTGGGGGGCTCTTTTTTATGTACACTTTCGGTGTGATTCACCTGTTGTTGATGGTATGTCGCTTGCTTCGAGTGTTTTATACTGTTATGAATTTCCTCTTCCGACTCCTCGTCGGAATCGGTTATCACCTGATTTAGTGGTGCATAAATAGCTTGGTGTGGATATTCCATATGAAGCATTGTAGCTACATTAATGGGACGAAGAAAAATCAATAAATTTACACTCATATGATTATGTTGACCATAGTCTGCATTTTTATTTATTATTACCTGGATTGACAATCTTACGTATTCATTCAGCAACCACATAGTTTTGAGGGCTTAATACATTTATTTTCACTACTTTTTTAATTAAATTAATTAGATTACCAAAAATGTTCCTGCTCCTTGATAATTAGTTCTGTTTTAACGGTAATGTTCGGCAAAGCAAAATGTCGCTCACATCCCAGGCGAAATGAGATTGAACTCGCCTTGCTTATATTTGCATAGTCAAATTTACTCCATATGCGTTTGTATTAAAACAGCTGATCTAAACAGGGTTCACAGAATACATATTATTTAATAAATATTTAAATACAAATAGATAAGTATATTCAAAATTTCATAGGTGAGAGTATGTTTCTCGAAAGACTTAAGCTGATGAAAAACAAAAATTTTTGCGTTGTGATATTTCCAAAGTGGGTAAAAGGTATGTCTGGGCAAAGTACCCAGCCAGCCTGTTATATGGCAATGAAAATGGAGCACCTGCTGATGATGAAACCCCAATCGATGACGATGGAAAAAGAGTTCCATTACCCGTTTAGGGAACTGACGCACTACCGGTGGAGCTATTTAAACATAGCGGTAAAGTGCTGACAAATGCATGCTCAGCTTCTTTGCAGAATATGATTAGGAAATGGACGAAATATTGCCCTTCGATCGGAATATAAGTGGGCTCCTCTCTCCTAAAAACAGATCTCACGGCCTGCGTCTATTGCATATAGAGTACACCCACGTCAACAAACTAATTGGACCTTGTCAGTGTAGTCAAAGAACGTATGTAAATTTATATTCTTTGCCTTCGCTTTGGGTAATTTTTATGTAAACCAGCGCATAAAAAAATATAATTGTACATTAATAATGTCTGTCTCTTAAAATATATTTTTAAACTTAGCTCAAGGTAATTTCAGAAATAACATGGGATACGCGTTTCGCAGAAATCGGCTTTGACAATTTAAATTTCATTCATTTTTTTGCTTTGTTACCGCCCTATGTGTGTAGGCAGAAATGCAGCGCTGCTAATTGTAATAGAATAGAAATTTCTTTGATTAAGGAAATCCGTTATTTAAAGAGAAAAAAATTAAATATTTTATTTGTATCAAAGGTTGGCGGAAAATTAATATTCCTATCGAAAATAAAAATTTCTATCAATACAAAATTTGTGATTTCGTGTTAGATATTTTGGAAATATTCATTCCACAAGCCATAAATATGTATGCGGCTGTGAAACCGCTTTCCAAATATTTGCAATTAAAATCGGTTCGCATATACGATGTGGTTTTCACATTGCATTCCAAATGTACAGTGGTTATTTTATTAACCTGTTCATTTCTGCTTTCTGCTAAGCAGTATTTCGGAGAACCCATTCAATGCATGGGCGATGACAAATATAGTGAATTCGTTAATTCCTTCTGTTGGACCATGGGCACTTATATTTACAATGTGTACGATATACAAGATCGTATACCACATGGGAACAAATTGTTAAGTACCCAGACTGGAGAACCATCTCCTTATATTGCAGAGGCTATAACAACAGAAGTTGCTGGTGGTACGGAGAAAATATATCTGCGTTACTATCAATGGGTCATTATGCTACTCTTATTGCAGTCTGTTATATTTTATTTCCCTTCCTTTCTTTGGAAAATGTGGGAAGGTCAACGACTAAAACAGTTATGCGCTGAAGTTGGTAAGCATGATGTTTTTGAATCCTATTTGTAAAGTTACCTATGATCTTTTATATATTTACATATTTCCATATGCGATTTGTTCAGGCGATGCTCTTGTTCCGGAGGGAACTTATGTGGAACGTCTTAAGTTGCTTATAAAATACTTTTCAACAGATTATAAGGATATACACTATTGTTATATGGTCAAATGTCTGACATGTGAAGTGTTGAATTTTATTATCAGCGTAAGTGATGCATTCGTTTACAATCATTAACTAAAACTAAAAAATCTCTTTACAGATAATCAATATTTTACTGCTTAATGTGTTCTTAAATGGTTATTGGACAAAGTACGTTGAAGCTCTTATGGCCGTTCCAATATATGACTGGGACAATTGGAATCGCATTACTTCCCGAGTTTTTCCAAAAATTTCCAAATGTGACTACTTTTATTTTGGACCGGGTGGTTCGCAAACTAAGCGAGATGTTTTGTGTATTCTACCTTTGAATATTCTAAATGAAAAAATATTTGCCTTTCTGTGGTGCTGGTTCATCATAATGGCTGTAATCTCTGGTTTAAATCTGTTGTATCGTCTTTTCCTAATGGCAAGCAAAACTTTTCGTTTAAAAATGATCAGCACTCAATTGCGTCCAATGTCTACAAGACATGTGCTCATGGCTTTAGAAAATATAAGCTTTGGCGATTGGTTCTTACTTTTTAAAGTCAGTGTAAATATAAATCCAATGTTATTTCGAGATTTAATTCAAGAATTATATGAACAACGAAAATTGAGAAATAATTTGACTTCTGTTTAATACAATTCATCGACTGACTTGTACAGATACATATGTATGTATTGAAGTAATACATAATTTCTTACTTAGAATTAGAACAAAAATGAGTTAATATAAAATATTAAAGGCGAATTACATAGTTGAGTTATAGAACCATTAAAGTGCCTTGTTGTATGTCAAATGCAAACGTACTGAAGATTTTGCATTAATGAATTATTTTTATTTATATTATCTTATATAATTTTCTTTTTCTATTTTTAGTATCTGAAATTTATAAAGACGAAAAAATGAGCTGAAATAAAAAATAAAATAAAATAAAATATACTTGAATAAATATTGAATTTATTGAATGCGGGATAGGTGGCTTGACTGTGCTTAAAATCTATTCAGCCCTCTTATTATATATTGTTGCATTTTGATCAGTTTTGACTTGTTTTACGATGCAAAGGAATTGGACCAGCTTGGAAAATTTTTCCTAAAAATATTAAATTTGTATATCAAAGTAGAAAAAGCAATTCTTGAAATTTTACAGTGAACAAATTTCAATTGATTCGATTGAAATGTTATAAATTTTATTTCGTTTTTACCCGAAACGAAAAGCTGTCACCAATAATAAACCTTTAAGATATGATTTTAAATGTTAAAATATAAGTGTGTTGTTAACCCTAGAGATACTCAACTAATGAAATGATGCCTTTTCCTTTCGTTAATAGGAAATGAAATTGAAACTCTACGTTGTCGCTAATTTTAAAATAGACGCTTGCTTCAACGTGTAACATAATCTGTTAACGATTTAACATTATTTGTTAGCGATTTAGCATTATCTGTTATCGATTTAACATTATCTGTTAGCGATTTAGCATTATCTGTTAGCGATTTAGCATAATCTGTTAACGATTTAACATTATCTGTTAGCGTTTTAACATTATATGTTATCGATTTAACATTATCTGTTAGCGATTTAGCATTATCTGTTAACGATTTAACATTATCTGTTAGCGTTTTAACATTATCTGTTAACGATTTAACATTATTTGTTGGCGTTTTAACATTATCTGTTAAAGATTTAACATTATCTGTTAACGATTCAACATTAATGACAGCATTTCGCTTCGGGTAAAAACGAAATAAAATTTATATTGAAGTATGTGATAACTGCATATTTGCTGCTAGGCTGAATATCATAGTACACACGAGTACAGACTCTACATACATATTCACATATAAAACCGGTGCATGTCACACTACTCAAAAGCTTTGAAAATAAAAATTCTTCCACTTAATTCTTGGGTACACCAATGACCTTACCGACTACAGTGATATACGTGTACATACATGCATGTATATAGCTTCCGAAATTATTTGTATATCTTTTGAGATTTTTTTTTTTTTTTTATAAATTACTTCAATTAACTTTTGATAATATAGAGTAATAAATTTATGTAAATATATATACATATATGCATGTGTATAGTTAATTTTATTCATAAAGTGTTGATGAAGCAGTAGAGCAATGTGCTGAAGTAACCCCGAAGTTTCGCTGGAGTGGGTGGCAGAGTAATAACTCCGTAACGCACCAAAATCTTTTCAGCTTATAAAGACAAAAATTTCCATAATGAAAAAAGCAAATGCAAACTAAATAATTCCTTATTCATTGTTATTTTTAATTTTTTTTTATTAAAACATAATATATATATATATATACATACATATATTGTCAATGCGCAAACTTCTCCGGAACCAATGCTAAATCCAACGCTCATGAACAAATCGAACCAATTTATATGTATGTACGAGCATAAGAATTTTGTTGAATTTTTATTGCAAACATCGACAAAAGATCTTTCATAAAGTAATAAATTGGCAAAAACAAAAAAAAAAAAATTAAAAAAAAATATTTTTTGCATTTCATTATTAATTACCTGCGAAAGTTGTTGGTTGTAGCAAAATTGACTCGAACGAATTGGGTCGATTCCCCGTGGAAGTGCGGCGTTGAAGTGTCGTTCCACTTTCGGAAATGGTTGAAAAGCAAAGTCGCAAGCCATTACTGGTCACAGTCTTGTGGCGTTCCTCGAACCAAATCGGTCGGTCGGTCGGTCGACTTCTTATATGCTCGTGCAATAAATAAACGTTTGGATCGGAGTAATCACGGGAATCGGATTGTCGTTATTGGCAGCGCGCTGGCAGCGGGTTTTGGATTACACACTGCTTGGGATTACATACATACCAGAGGATATACAAATATACATTAACATATATACGCATTGGCTTGTGATGTGCATATAAATAATGTATGAAAATGATTATAGCGAAAGTGCAATTTGATCCTTGTGACAACAGTGTGCCATAACATATATACATACATACATACACATGTATGTACACCTGTTAAATTAACATAATTACGTATGTTTTCATGTTTTATTTTTTAAACGAATTGTTACAGTGCAACGAGTGCAGGAAGTGTGAAAAAATAATTATACAGAAAATAAACGAGAATTCAAAGAAAATTTAAAAAAATCAATAAAAATAATAAAAGTAAAAAAAAGAAAAAATTAACAAGTAAAAGTAATGAATAAATTTTGAGTTTGTTTTAACTAATGCAGACTATATAAGTCGTCTCCAAGTATGGCAAAAATAAAATTACCAACCGACGGTAGGTGTTAAAATTCTAAATAAAAAAAAAGAGTTTTAAATGAAAAATCCAAGTGTCTTCTAAATGCATAGCAAGCTTAACTCAAAATGCATATATGAAGAAAGCAAAAGTTGTACAAATTTTAAAAAAGTTGCCAAAAATAATGTAGAAAACTGTTTGAAAATGCAGATCGAAAAAGCGTATTGGAATAGAACTAAAATACACAGCACTTTTGAGACCGAAAAGCAAAGACCCATAATAGAAAATTTTAAAGGTGGTTTCACTCCCGCAGACGGCTTCATAGCTATCTGACATTAAGGTTCCTTTTCGTGCTACCGGGAAAATACATCGTCTTTGCATTGAAATAAATATACAGGGTCCGCCACGTAACCTTTTTTTTTTAAATGCAATAACACAAATGCCCATTCGGCAAAGGCAAACCGCATCGTGGACTCGTGGCTTCAATTCTTGAACCAATTGAACTTTGTACGGTGTCATACCAAGGTCTTTTTTCAAAATTCGCCTAAAGGACGTTTCAGAAATGTCCAATTGCTGAGAGCGACGCTTCACTGGTGTTCCGGGCGCCTCACGCACACTCTCGGCCACAGCAGCGATATTACCGGCAGTACGCACTTTTTTTGGTTTCTCACGCGTTGGTTTATCAATAATTGTGCCGTTGCGGTTTCTCTCAATTTTTTCAAAAGAAAGCGCACATACGGAGCGGACGGTGCTTTGTTACGGCTCATTTCCGTGCGTAATTTTCGCACACATTCTGTAACATTACCATAATTTTCAAAGTAAAACTGCACCATTTTAACGCGTTCCTCAATAGTATACACAACCATTTTCGTTCAGCGGAAGGATAAAACTAACTTTCTGTCAAATCAGATGTAACATCAGTGTTACCACACTCAAAATAACCACTAGTTCAAAAAAAAAAATGTTAGATGGCGGACCCGTATAGAAAGCCGTAAAATAAGTATTTCAAAATAAAATGTATTTCAACGAGATAAAAAAATAAAATTTCTGCATTTTAGTTAATACTGAGTTCGTACGCCTGAAATTTATAAAAGGTTCTAGTAAGATAAGCCATAAATGCGAAACAAAATCCCGACGTTTTTTTAAAGGGTTACATAGGTCTTGAAACTTCAAATTTCTATTTTATAATTTTCTGTTTAAAGGTACAAGGTGTCAGGGATATTTTCTCCAAGTTTCAAGTCGATCCAGACAAAACTGTAGAAATTAGAGAGTTTTTTAACCCGCCGTCTTTGTCATGGCTTGACCGATGACGACAGGCAAGACGGCGTTTGTCTTAAAACCACTTTATCGTAATCGGTAGTCAAAATTTCTTAACGACTATTGAAGCGATCGAATTCAAATTTTCCACACCTCTTTTAAGCATGTTCTTGTAGTCACTTTACAAGCCAATATCTGGCCTAATTTTATGCAAAAAATTACGTTTTTTGTAAAAAACGTTATAAAAATTTCTATTTTTAATTTTTTTATTTTTTTCCTTTATGGACAAGGAAAATTCACCTACTTTAAGGAAAAAAATTGGATTTTTGATTTCAGATAAAAATTGAAAATGTTATCATGACTACCGCAAAAGCACTTTCTTGTGGACGGTCTACTTCACGACACTGCCAACGCCCTAACTTATACTATATTTCATTCAAATTTTCATCAAATGATGTCCACATATCGTACAATACTTTTATATTTAAATAAAATAAAAAAATTAGAGAAAATAAGCTTTTTTTCAGCCTACGTAACCCCTTAAACAGCTCGATCACTGATCCACTTGACGGAAAGAATAATTTCCAAATACTGACCTAGGAAATAGAGTTATCTAAGCTCCTAATATTAAGGTCAGGCTCATCCAAAATACATTTACAAAATTAAAACGGTTTCTTATTTTGTATCACAATGGCCAGAACTAAAATGAAACATTTTCACAAAAAAAAAAAAAACAAAAAAAAAATGGCGGACTTTTTAATTTTTTACCCTCAGCTCTTAAATATACGATGAAGAACCCGCTGGTGGTAGAAAAGTATGAAGAAGACCTCCATTCTGGTGGAAAAAATAGATGGAGAAGGAAGGACTTGGTTTTATTTAGTGTCTCCATTTGAAGCGGTACGTCTAACCTTACTTTGCGTGCCTTAATTGATGCTGGCTGCCTACTTGGAAAACAGGCGTTTAGTCATAGAGTTTGAAGCTACCTTCGCTACCTCGGCGGGTACAGAAGAAGAACGCTCCGATGACTGTCCCGCATTTAGACGCATCAGTACCCGATAGAAGGTTTTACTTTCCCACTTGTGCTATACTTTTGGCTCGAGTTCTGTTCTGCTTTTTGTACCCAACTGAGAAGGACTTCATTTATCAGTTGAAGATTGATTGACCTGATGTCGAGTCAATAGCCCTCCAAGTAGTGCACGTATATTCTGATGTATCCGGTGAACAGGTACGCCGTACTTGTGACAGTGGTTCAATACGGTACTTATAAATTGTGTTGCCTCCTCATAGTAGTTTTTCTTATGTTATAATGGACTGACGACTATTATGGCGCTACGACCCTACTGCAGATTCTCTAAATTCAGAAGGTTGTAGTTATTTTTATCAAGGTCACAAAATGTCTCCCTGCGGGGGACGCTTACAACCAGTGCATGCCTAAACCGGACAAGTGAGTTCTGTTTGATTCTAAATGAGCCAATAGATGACGCCTATATGGTGGTATAACAGCCGCTCGGAGCGTATTTGTTGTTAGACTCAATCATCGCTGAAGCTTTCTATATGTTTTAGCAGAAAAATCGGTTTGTATAACCTCGGGAAGGGTAATTCCTCCTTCTTAACAGGCTTCAGAATATAAATCACTTTAAGCTCCTGAGATGTTCCATCAGATCTGATCCATTTCGGAATAAGGCTAGAAAGACTATATTAACGCTGGCAGCTTTGGACGGTTTAAAGCTTTTAAAAATTTCTGACTAAATTTCGGTAAGATTTGAGTAAAAATTTCTCGTCATAATCATGTTACTTACTACTAAGATTCGGTGGCAATACTATAGGTGTCTTCATTCCGGATTCCCTTTCATTATTCATTATGGACCACTTAAGGGTTGAACTAAGGCATTATACTAACGTTGTACTTGTACTTTCTGTGCGGTATCATCTGCTCTTATTCCTTCGAATAATATTTGAATGATGCTCCACGAAACGCTTAGGTCTCGTTCTCGTCAGGTTTATGATTTAAGTTTCATTAGGCGATTTCTTCTGATTAAGATTTTAATTATTGAATTAATTTTGTGGTATTAGATAAAAAAGTGTTCAACGCAGGATGTCAGAGGAAATGTCTAAAGACGACTCTTGTCCGGGTATTGGCTATATCCGGCGTGACATTGATGGCGCTTATGATAATTCTCGTTTATCATGCAATTACGTTGCACGAAGCAGGTAAGTTTATTGGACATATACTACCACCTAAAATGGATTAGAGGCAAAGTAACTCATCACTTCTCTATAGGCAAGCATCATCCAGTCGCGCCAACGGGTCCGCAATATCAGACCTTCGTTCATTCAGATAACGAAAAACTGACTGATGAACGCCATGTAACAGGCAATGAATTTGACCAAAACTTGATTGTGCAGCAATTGCGGTCGATCGATGTTCGACAACGCCACGGAAGAAGTTTACCAGATCCACTGGACCCTGTATTTCTCGAGCATGGACCAAATTTTGATAGTCTTTATGCGAAAGTGCGAAATAAACGTACACGCATCGAGTTGGGAAAATTGGAAAAAGAATATCTCCGATGTAAAAAAGAGTCCGTAAATAGTAGCAGTTGCATGGTTGCATTTCTAAAGCTATACGACTTAGCCAAGGAAATTAGTGAGAAAGTGGACAAGATGAAAGAAATATTTGATGATAACGAGGAAACACTTCAACGGAGCAATAGCTCAGAATCCACAGAATCTCATGAGGTGAATCGGAGAAATGAGACGGATACAACAAAGGACGGAAGCAATGATACAACAACTGCAGCAACAACGGAGGCTCGTTTAATAACGGTGACAGAAGCAGCAAGTGTTACAAATCGAAATGCGAGTGCAAATGGCGAAGAGGAGCCCATACATTATAATTGGATAATCGACGGACAAGATGAAGATATTACAGATCAAGCTCCGTTGAAGGAGAACGTAACCGAAGTGTCAGATTTTGTATCAACAACAACTATGGCGGCGATCAAAAAAGTAACTAATATAACAGAAAATCTACCATTGAGAACCTCGAGAGGGCCTACAAGTACCAGCACCGAAGCCACACCGACAGAGAGCGGAAAGAATCATAACGACACCAGTTTTACGCACACAGAAAATGAGTCACACAAAATCAGTTGGATTTTAGATGGTTACGAAAATGATAATGAAACAATGACCGTGGATAAACCGATTATAAATGAAACGACTGCAAAACCAACTCACATGAATGTAGCAACCGAAAATTCCGCGAACGAGACTACAACTCCGTCAACGATAAAGGTGACGGTGCATGAAAAACCTGAGAAAATTAGTTGGATAATAGACGGGCATCACGATGATGATAAGGAAAAGGCGGAAGAAGACGAAGAAGAATTTGTTGCTAACACGACCAAGTCAAATTTATCAAAGGAAATTGTTTCCATCGGCACAGAGAAAGTCCTATGGATATTAGATGAAAACGATGAGAATGATGAAAATGTGGAAACAACTGCGAAGGAAACGCCAAAGTCTACAACACAAATAAAAGACAAGTCCGATAGAATTAGTTGGATAATAGACGGTCATGATGATGAAAGTGTAACTAGTTCTACCACTCGCCTGACAACGTCCTCCACCCGAAATATATTCGAAGAACTGGAAGAGGTAACGGAGGGTGTGGAGAAAGAAGAAGAAAAGCTGCGTAAATTAAAATATGATGCTATGATCGAGCAAGAGCAGGTTGAGTCTAAAACGCCGCGTACAACTGTTGCTGAACAGCCCACCACAACAGCGCCTCTTAAGCATGCCACCTCTTCTCTGGTAATGAATCAGACAGTTCATCTTACCAATACCGCAGGCATAACAATAACCTACGGTGGAGATTGTATGACAACAACAACAACAAAGCCCGAACAGCTGGAGCAGGAAAAAGCACGCGCAAGCGATACACAAGACAGGTCGCATCCCTTAGACCATCCCAGCAGTGCCGAAAATATGCTTGAAGTATCGGAAAAGTACCACAAATTTAAACCTTTCAAGGCGGTTAGTGTTTCGCCGAAACTCAAGAACATTACCTCGACCACAACTAGTCCATATAATGCTGAAATGTGGGAAAAACTATTTCGGCAAAGCTCGGCGGTACAACATCAACAGGATGAATTAATAGACACTTTTGGACCAACAGATATTCAGTCTATGTTGGAATTTGGCGCCAAACTCAATACGGCGAATACAAACACTCAAGGTGAAGGTTTTTTTACACAATCGAATTATTTTGAGTTCTTTAAATTTGTTGTTCTTTTCCCTTTATAGGATTGTTAGACTCACAGTTTTTGTCACTGTGCGATCAAATAGTAGCAAGGCGTTTGCTCAACAAAGGTATGAACACAGAAGAAGAGCCCTTCACGCCAGCACCCAACCCGCAGTTCACCAGCCGTGGTCCTGGCGGTTTTCCCGTTACCGGCGAGACGATGAAGGCAACAGCTCAGTTTATCTATAATCCCAATTTCGGTATGCCTACCATTCCGATCTGCTTTTACATAACTCCTGCAAATTTTCGTATGGCTAATCAGAGCCCTATGTGGTCGAACAATTTCGCTGGCATGTCCGGTGGGTTCTCTAATCCAATGGGGCTCAATACACCGAATGGTGTGTTTTTTGTACCACAAAATTTTGGCCCAACGGGCAATTTCTTTGGACCAAGCGGAAGTACAGGTACTGGTGGGTAAGTACTGCATGGGTTTTTAGCTTGGATGTCCCATACCAAAGTTGTGTATATTTTTCAGTAGCCAGACTAGCATGGGAAATGTATTTGGTAAGAATGCTGCAGCACGAAAGCAACAACAGCAATTCTTCTGCACCTATATGCAAAACAACGGGAATAACAGTCCAAGTGGTGGTAGCGGGCGTGGCGGACTTGGTGGTAGTGGTATTAATGGCATGGGTTTTAGGACTGATAGTTTTAAGATGCGTACAAGTGGCCAAAATCTTACCAACGACATCATTTACGCCTCATATACCGATATACCGGACCACTTGGGACATGCCGATCATTTCCAGTGCTCACTACCCGAGCAGGTAGCATGTTATGGTGGCAAGGAGTGCATACAAGAGAGTGCCTGGTGCGATGGATTTGTTGATTGCGCAGATGGTAGCGATGAGGCGGCCTGTCGATGCATAGATCGGTTGGCCAGTAAACGCATATGCGATGGCTATGCCGATTGCCCGATGGGTGAAGATGAACTTGGTTGCTTTGGTTGTAACGATTTAATATATTCCTGCTACGATGGACCCGAGGATTATGCGGCGTACAATAGGTCGACAGTGTCCATGTGTTACAGCGCCACGGAACGGTGTGATGGCGTCATGAATTGTTTGAATGGTCGAGATGAACTTGAGTGCAATATTATAGTTGATAATGTGTTGGATCATATGGTGAGTACACGCTAGGGTGATGTTAACGGTTTGAACGTGTATATATATGCATATTTACAATATTCCACTAGTCACACGCAGCTTCCAGTTCGAGTGGTTTCCTCTTTCATAACTACCGTGGCGAATGGTTTCCGGTTTGCAACAATGCGCAGAAATGGGCAAGCGAAGCTTGTGCCAATGAAGCCGAACATAGCGCCACACCGAATGTGACCTTCCGTGAAATCACACTATCCGGTACGTTTATTGAGCCTACCCTCGTGGGTCAGGCACGCTTTCCACAATCCTGTCAGCAACGTGACGCACACGATAAGCTTGTAGACCAGGCGGCATATGTCGATTGTATGTCAACAACACAATGTGGACTAGTTAAGAAGAAAGTTAAAACTCCTTTCCGTCGAAAGCGCTCGGGGTCTTTGAGTAAGCTGCATAAAAGTATAAGGCAGCAACAAGAGCAACGTAAACGAGAAAATTTCAATGGACGCATCGTTGGTGGCTCCTACAGCTCACCTCTACAATGGCCCTTCGTGGTTGCCATATATAGGGACGGAAAGTTCCACTGTGGTGGCACAATATATTCCGAAAAATGGGTGAGTACCAAGTATAAAATTCAAAGATCGGTTACCGGATTACCTCCTTGGCTCCAAAATGTCTTTACTCTTGAAAATTAATATAAATAAAAAATATTAAGCTTCATTTTTAAATTGCGGTCGCCCCTCGATAGAGAATGTCAATCCCTCCGAGTGCATTTCTGACAAAAAAATTAAAGCTCCTCATAAAAAACCATCAGCCGTTCAGCGGCGGCTTAGTATGAACTGTATGATCTCCGCTTGTTGGAAAAACATCAAGACCCATGCCATAAAATGGAGGGGGAGCTCGGCCGAAAATCGTTTCAGCGGTTATATATATTTTAAGCCATCTACAAGTTTTGTTATTTTTCATGCGGGCAATCGCTATTCGGGCTTCTTCCGTCGGTTATAGGCACGTCTTTTCCTTAAACATTGACCATAGAAATCTCCAGGTACAGCAATTTCACTACCATTCAGTAGAATGGAGAGGTTTTCGCTCCATATACTCAGTAAGCTCTGAACGTTGGCCAATGAATTACCCCTTTGATACCTAAATTAGTATACTCTGAACCTGAAACCCTCTGTAAGACGCCGAATATTTTCATATGATAGAATTTTCGAGCATTATCCCATATTGGAGAGCTTTTCAAGCTCTTCGTACTCACGCATTTCGGTTATTCTCTCTTTTTGTCTGCAAATGCATTCTATCCGGTCCATCTAATCCCTGGGATGACGAGAGCATCAGTCAGCTAGGCAGTGGCACCTTTGCAATTAAGCGTCCACACTTCAACTGCATGCTCTCAAATTAGGGTGGTGAGAATCTAGAGATATTATATTTTGTGTGTGGGTACACTAGGAATTCTCGGTAACAATATCCAGGATCTTTTCTTATTTTGTATTAAAAAATTTGTGAATACTCGCAATTAGAATTTCCTCACTTTTGTACATGCGTATACTTGAACAGATCTTGAGTGCCGCTCATTGCGTTATAAACTACCACAAGTACTATTACGAGATCCATGCAGGTATGTTACGTCGAACTAGTTTCGCCGGCTCCACGCAAATCCGTACAGTATCACATATCATCGTACATCAGGCGTACGAGAGGCGTAGCATGCGGAACGATCTATCATTGTTGGCAATGGCTGAGCCATTAAAATTTAATCGTTGGGTGAAACCGATATGTTTGCCGGATGTGGGTCGAACTACAGCCGGTGCAGATTGGATTTGGGGGCCGGAAGAGAATACGTTATGCACAGTGGTGGGATGGGGTGCAGTGCGTGAGAAAGGCCCTGGCAGTAAGTGAATAAGTGATGAAGAGAAGTCTGAATTTGTGTTTGTAATATACGAACTCTTACAGGTGACCAATTGCGTGAGGTTATTGTGCCAATACGAAAACAATGTACAGAGTTGGAAGACAAGGAGTCGGAGGATGTTTGCGCTGGCGATGCGGATGGTGGACGTGATGCTTGTCAAGGTGACTCAGGTGGCCCGTTGTTTTGCAGAAGTGTCAACAATACTGAGGAATGGTACTTGGCTGGTGTTGTTAGTCACGGCAATGGCTGTGCACGTAAAGGTGAATTCGGTGCATACACACGAGTTGCGCTATACTTGGACTGGATTGAAATGGCGTCAAAATATCGCACGAAACTACAGCCGCGTTTAACGTGCCCGGGTTACACCTGTGTTTGGGGTGGAAATCGTTGTATACCTATGAAACGGCGCTGCGATCGTATTGTCGATTGTTTGGGCGGAGAAGATGAAGTTGGCTGCATTTACAATTTCATACCAGATCTGGTGGGCAGTAGTAAAAATATAAGTAGCACAACAGAGAGTGATTACCACCCAGAAGAGGTGGTAAAAACCACCCACTGCAAAGCGGCAGATACAGCACGTAACGCAGGCGTTGAGGAGGAGAATGAAGTAGAGGTAGATGATGAAAAGGCGTCTACGGAAAGACGGGTTAGTGATGATGAGGAAAGCATAACTAACGCTTCCACGGCGACTATTACTCAGAACATAACAAAAATAGAGTCGAGTACAAATGATGCAACAGAGTATACCACGGATTTTAGTACAACAGAATCTTCTGATATAGACGAAACAAATGCAACACCACAGGCCACTTTCGCAGATTTGACTACCTCGGAAACTATATCAACACAATCAACGCCTTCAATTGAAACTACAGCCGACTCAACTACAACCGAAGATGTTATCACGAGCACGAGCACGACGCAAATCACAACCACAACAGAAATGACAACCAATATTCCAAGCACAACGACGATAGTTACCACAACGGAAATAACAACTACTCCAATTGGCACAACGGAACCGAGTATGGCAGACACAACCGAAAGTTCGTTATCAACTGATACAACGACAGTATCACTTACGCCATTTGACGTTGAAAATTTGGTAACAACATCAACAACTGGCTCTACGTTTAGCACCACAACAAGTCCGGCCAAAATTTGGCTTTCACAAGCGACCTCAACGGAAGCCACGGAAGCCACGGAAACCACTACAAAGATCAGTAAAACCTCTACAGAGAAACCACATTCGTTTATTAATGCTACTCTTCCAGGGAAATTTGTATGTCAAAGGTGGGTACCAAGTATGTCTAAGTTTCATACCGATTTGAATGTTTAAAGTGAAAAATTATGAGAGCAGTGATGATGAATATGTTGCTGGACACGTGGGGTTGGGTTGTAATTCCAAACCTCAATCTCTTCTAGCGCGATTATCTAGATTAATTATCCTAAGAATTTGAAGCTTGCAATGTAAAATTCGAGATTAGGTGACTTTCGGGATTTAAAGCTTCCGTCCTCTTAATTGCCATAGGTATCGCTTAAGAGTATAGCTGAACCAACAATAGCGAATCGGTCTTCTGTTCTCTTCACGGATTGGCGCCAACTTAAAACACCATATTAAACCAGGCCCTTTACCCCTTGATCTTCCCAACGGAGCAGACGTTGGCTCCCAATTCACCGAACTACATTATGTCAATGTCAACGTTATTGGTGTTAATGCTGGTTCCAAGATAGACTAAATTATAAAAGACTTAAAACTTATAACGGTCAACACTGACCTCAGAGCCAAGGCGCAAATGTACTGACTGCTTGATGACTAAAGATATTTCGCTTTGTAATTATCCAATTTTGTCGGCCAGCTTCACAAGTTCCTCGTACTCACGCATGTCGGCCTCTTACTTTTTTTGTCTGCAGATGCGTCTTGCTTCCCTCTTCAGCTCTCGGTATTTATCCCACCTACTGCGACACGGCAGTTCTCATCGTACCAGCTGCCTTTGCGATCTTTTCGAATTCCAATAGTTTCGTTTGCAGCTGTACGTAGGGAGTTTGCTCTCAGAGAGCAGGTGTGCAGGTCGAGTAGAAAACAGCCTGGCAGTTTGTTGTGATTGGAGATTTTCAACGTCGAACCTTCCTTGTGTTTGTTGACGAACGTTCTTCGATACAAAGAGGCGCGTGCGTATCTTGGCTGCGATAAATGCGAGTCCATGTTAGGACCTCGGAACGTTCGCACATCGAAAACACTGGATACATGTCTTCCGTCTATCACAACATGAGCGATCTGGTAGAAAGTTTTTCGATCTGGAGACAGCCAAACAACTTGGTGAATTTTCTTGTGCTGGAATCTGATGCTACAGACAACCATATTTCGGGCCCCGGCGAAGTCGATCAGCTTCAGCCCGTTGGGGGATATTTCGTCGTGGAGGCTGAATTTTCCGACTGTTCTCCCAAAAATACCTACCTTTGCATTGAAGTCGCCAAGAACAATGTTGACGTCGTCGTGGGGGCAGCGTTCATAAGTGTTCTCGAGGCGCTCGTAAAAGGCGTATTTGGTCAAGTCATCCTTCTCTTCCGTCGGGGCGTGGGCGCAAATCAAAGATATGTTGAAAAATTTTGCTTTGATGCGGATTGTGGTGAGACATTAATCCACAGGGGTGAATGCCAGTACTCGGCGACGTAATCTCTCTCCCACCACGGATCCGATACCAAATTTGTGCTCGTTTATATGGCCACTGTAGTAAGTTTCACAAGGACACTTTCATTTACACTAGCAATATTTAAGGCGGAACGAGCAAAACGATGATGCCTTACAATGTAACCGTAATCTGTAACCCATTCAGTTCAATCATATTTCTCTAAACTCTTTTAGAATTCCTCAGATTGTAGAGCTGATAAATCGTTGCGATCGAGTCTTGGACTGCGAAGATGGCACTGATGAGGACTCTTGTAGTTGCCGGGATTACCTGAAAGGATCGCTTAACATACTCATTTGCGATGGAAAAGTGGACTGTGAGGATTTAACTGATGAGGAGAATTGTGGTAAGTACAAGCATACATATGTACATATGTGCAAATATCTTTACATAAATATATATTATATTTAGGTAATTGCCAGGACAGTGAATTCCTTTGTCCGCTTTCTAAAACGTGTGTGCCGTTGCGAAAGCGTTGCGACAACAATATTGATTGTGATTTCAAAGAGGATGAAAAGGACTGTTGTGAGTGAGCCATTTTGATTAATACGAAGTACACATTTTATTAGTTGATTGTTATGTCATTACTCATGTATGTATGTATGTCCTTCTCAGTCGCACTAACGAATGGCAAGAAAATTATCTTGGATGCCGACAGACGACCACTTTTGACTAACGCAGGTATATTTTCGCGCAACAACAACGGGACATGGCGTGTTGTATGCTCTCACGAGATTTCCCACTCGGATGGCATCGCCTCAACAGCGGCGAGCGTGTGCGTGCAGCTCGGCTTCAAAAGTCTCAAGTTCTACAACACAACGAGATTCATTGGCCACAATGCCATAATTCCTATACATCCGGACATACAAAAGAAACAGAAGCTTCTGCAAGCACACTTCTCCACTATATCAGCGGACAATCATCAGTTCTCCGGCGCTGAACGCCAATTTCGTGCGAATGATCAGGCATTTAAGGCGCGCACACAATTCATTGAACACACGAGGGATGAGTGCTTGGGTCTCTTTGTGGAATGTGAAGCTAAAGCGTATAAAATGGAGCCGTTGAAGACAATAAGTGCTGGAGAGCAATTGGCGCCGGCGGGTGTGCCCTCAACTGGTTTGGAGCCAGCCTTGGAAACTCACGGCAAGCCGAATGTTTTCGTAACACCGCCATCGACGCTGGTTTTGGTCACTAAGAAGGACGAAGTGCTCGATAAGTTGGACGGTGTGATAGCAAGTCGTAAGAATATGACACTTTTGGTGGATAATAAATTACACGAGGCTGTAGAAGAGTTGCACTGGCCGTGGGTGGTTGATATATACGTTGATGGACGGTTGTGGTGCGTGGGCGCTTTGGTGGATAAATATTGGGTGCTGGTGCATGAGTCATGTCACTATGGTGTTAGGTGGTTACATCCTTAGCTGAATAGATGAATAATATATATTAAATATATACTTTGCAGATTCAACACCAATTACATAGCTGTGCTACTGGGTGGTGGCAAAACGAAAGGTTTACGCCACAAAAGCACACACGAGCAGATCCAACGTGTCGATTGCTTTGAGCAGGTGCCCAAGAGCGATGTACTTCTATATCATTTGGAGAAGCCTGCGCGCTTTACGCATCACGTGCTGCCTACCTTCTTCCCAGAATTGTAAACCATATATACATACATATATAGTAAAACACTTAGTAGGACGCTTTAAATTTTTCTACTTACAGCTCGACAAAGGCTGCTGGTGAGTCCCAACAATGCATAGGAATTTTACATGACGAACAAAGTGGCCGCATAAAAGCCGTCTTGGCTGTTGAGGAGCATAATGATGCACTGTGTAGGGTCTCCGACATGTCATGCTATCGCCTTATTGAGCGTACGCCACCACGGCGACTGCTCGCCGAACTGGGCGTGAGTGATGAAGATTTTGCCAGTTTATCCGAAGAAGTCGTCTTCAAAGAAGATTTCAGTGAAAGCAACGAATTTTCATCACTAGCCATCTCACGATTCGCTACGTGCACACAATTCGGCAAAAAGAATTCGAGTCGTCTAGCTTTTGAACCTGTAGATCAAGGTATTTTGGCGTGTCGACAAGCAGATTCTGGCTGGTATCCATTAGCCTTATTCGATTACAACAATACGAACTGTTATAGTTTCAAAGACTCATTCGCATTGAGAACTCTAGAGAAAGTCTACGGTACTATACAGAGCTTAATAGGTAAGCGTAGGGCGAATGATATCTCAGTGATTAACCATGCAGTGCTGTGATATAAATTACCATTCCATTCAACAGATCAACCTAAGTGTGAACACCCTCATGAGGCACCCGTATGCAGCACTCACAGGTGTGCTCTTGGAGATTGTTTGGAGGAGGAGCAAATATGTAACGGCTTCAACGATTGTCATGATGCTGACGACGAAGAGAAAGAGATGTGTATGGGACAAAAGAAAGGTTGGTAAAAGAAAGTAATGCTATACATATGTTTTGGCTAAAATTATAAAGACCGTACAGCATTGAAGTAGCTCCTACTGGCACCAATAAAAGGTGGGTTATCCAACTGTTAGTAAATGTGGTCAATCCTTTTTTCCTTTAAACAAATTATGGGTCGAAGAAGATAACATTTACTTAGGGGTTACGTGAATATCTGACTCTTGGTATATACCCTTAAAATTCCCGACAAAATGTGGGCTTACTTTCCTTTGATAAAGTTTCCCATTGAGGAAATGTCTTTATCGTAACGCTCCGCATCTTGTTCGTCACTCATTGGCCACAATTTTGCCTTTAACAGTTCTCGTACTAATGTCAATAAGTGCGTTGTTTTCGAAGTTGACGGCTCATAACTTGGGTACTGACTTATGAAAAAATTCTCACTAGTATCCGGCCTTTCTGATCGATTTGGAGATTTTGACACAGGCAGCACATACAATTGATTGGAGCTCTGTGACCGCAGAGGCGACTTTCGGCCGATCTTCTCCTCCAATTTGTTTAGTCTTGATGTTTCCCAATGAAGGGCGGGACCTACAGTTTATACTAAGCCGCCTTCGAACGGCTGATGTTTTTTTGATGTCGATTGAAAAGCGATGACAACACCAACCATAATAGAGGTAGTACAAGTATGTGCTTCCTAAAGTTTTCCTCTCTTTTTTTGCAGTGTGTCAGCCATCCGAGTTGAAATGCCGCTCAACGTATAAGTGTATACCGAAAACGAAATTTTGCGATCACGTTGCCGATTGTGAAGATATGACCGACGAACCTACACTTTGTTCCTGTTATACTTACCTCCAGTGAGTAAGAAATACATACATACATATGTACAATACATAAGTATAATGGAGATGTGTGATTTTATTTAAGCGATTACTTCAAATAACTGTAAAAATATATATTCGCAGAGCTACCGATCCGAAGAAAATATGCGATGGCATTCGTAACTGTTGGGATAAGAGCGATGAGAGTCCGGCGTTATGTAATTGTACCGAAAATCATTTTCATTGTGGCGTGTAAGTATAGAAAGGAATTAATTTGTACACTTAAAAAAAAACACTTCGCAAATTGTATTAGGTTTTCTTAAAGTGTGATTTTGCGGGATATATTTTTGAGAGTTCCAGTGGAGCAATATCCGCTGTATGACAGAAGTCTGAATATTTACAAAAAATTATTGCCAAAATCAAGCTTTGTGCTTTGCGTTAAAAGAGACATACGGATAGTACTAAATCATTTCCTACCTTGTACCTACTGCCATTCAGGAGAGAACCTGTAAATTCTTACCAGAAAGAAATGTGTCAAAATTCGATTGAAAAGTTGTAGATTACCTCCATATAACAGTGTTGGAAGATAGTCAGCGTAGTTCAGCTAGGTTGCCTTACTTTGACTGGGAATATCTATGTACATTATGGCGAACTCTGGATTTTAGTAGAGGTTCGCTTTATATTATATGCACACGCCCATCTTTGCACGGATCGTAAAGGTTGAGGAGAGGTAGGCCTTCGCGTGTATCATCGAAGAGGGGTTGTAGATTTTCGCCACCTCTAATTGATTACGTACTATATTCGTAAAGGTGGAGAAAAGTACCTCAACCTGTTCTTCCTGGAGAGGAAGTAGTGTCTCATCTCCTCCGATTTAGTCTAAAAGTAGGACAGGCGCTGGTTCCTCATCTTCTTCTGGTACTTTAGATGGAGAGTAGAATTTTGCCTATTTGTAGAGAAGCCGCCTGTCGCTAGAGCAGCTGATTCACGAAGTCTGTCTTCTTACATTGAGGCTGGCTTTATGTAAAAGCGTCCTAGCCGCGTCACAACATATGAGTCTTTCATTTGATTCATATTAGAGTACTAAATTGACCCATTGTGATGCCAATATGTGTAGGAGTTAACACAACAGAGTTGTCGACGTATCCTTGCATCCTTCTTTTCGTTCTAGTCTCCAAAGTGTGCCGCCTTCAGATCAAACAACAGAACGTTAAAAGGAAACAGGCTTAAGACATTCTGTAGAAGCGTTTTAATAGCCTGTTACCTGGCTAAAAGTGGATCCATAATTTTTTAACAAGAAAAGCTCTCGTGAACTTCTTTCCCGCCATGTCGGCCACATTATCCAACTTAAGTTAGTATCTGCAACTAATAATCCTTTTATGGCTATTGAAATGCCTAGACTCCTGCAGAGAGTTGAAATTAGAATGATGATGCCCTTCTTGGCAAACACGTCTGCCATAGCGTTAGCCGGTATGTTACTGCGTTCTGACACTCTCGTCGGAGAGAACTGCTCAGCCACCGCGTTAAGAGATCTGCGAGGATTCCCTACCGTTTCTAATTTTATTGTTACAAATTCCAGTACTTTTAATGCTGCCTAGATAGCCTCACGTATGTTAATTGAATAGATTCGAGCGACTCTTATTAAGTTTCGGCCCACCCATGTAGAAATTCATCCAATCTGCGTGTGCTAAGTCTATCCTGTCCCTTTGACTCCTATCCGGAATAACCAGCTACTTATCTTTCGCACAGTCAGTGAGGGTAATGAGTGTTCCATCCTCTTCGGTAGACAGAAGCTGCTTAAAATATTAGTATGAACGTGGCCAGTTTCGGACATCTCCTGTAGCGTTACCGCAGAATAAGCTGCTTCATACATCCATATAATGTCAGTGGGAAGTGGATCTAAGGGAGCATTCATAGCTTAAAACTTTTGAATGATCTTTTCTGAGGACGAAAATGTATCCTCCTCTAAAATAAGTTATGAAGCTTGTAATTGTCTCCATTTCTATCTGTCAATAATTGTTTTTAACCAATTCTTTAAATTCTCAGTGCCTCTAAAGAGTGCGTACCACGTGACTTTGTCTGCGACAAAGAGCCTGACTGTCCCAACGGTGAGGATGAGAAATATTGCTTTGGCCTCGAATTTCCAAAGCAAATAGTCACTGAAAAGACAGGATTCTCAAAACTACCACAGCTGTAAGTATCAGAATTCGCGAAACTGATTTGCCAATATTTCAATATATTTTTGTCTCCTCGCCACACAGCAAACACAAACAATTACCGCAATTCGGCCAAGTCATCGAACAGACCTATGGCGTATGGCATACAAAATGCTTTCCCCGAAGCAGACCACCAGACGTGAATGAGGTGCGACAGATTTGTAAACAGCTCGGCTTTAGTCCATTCAAACAGCCGAGTTATCGTATAATTGATGATGTGGCCAAAAAGGTGGTGGAAACCAATGAATGGCCCGATCAGCGTGGACGTAGTTTTGGCAATGATGAGGAATCACCGCTACACGAACGCTATCGCAGTGCCACCAAAGCGGTGGTGGTGAGCAAGTTCTCACCACTCAATCTTAACGATGATTTGACTTTGTTCCTCAAGCCCAGCAGACCAATCGCTGAGGTGGCGCAATGGAATGCGACAGACTCGGACAAATGTTATAGACTTGAAATCAATTGCATGTAGTGTACATATTATACTACATACGTGTACGTACTCGTACTTGTATGTAGTAGTGTACGAGTAATTTGTAACTTGGATGTATATTTGTAATGTTGAATGTGCCTACTTAAATATTGTATTTGTTCTCATACTAGTTATAGTTTTAAGAAATTTTTGTACTTTTGTAAAAAACTGAAAAATAAATAAAAAAATATTTGAAATTTTTTGGTTCCTTGCGCTACTGGCCTGAAGGTATTAAAATTATTTTTGGATAGCGCCTAAGCGATTTTTGGCCCAACTCCTCCTCCAATTTGAGGTTTTGGGAGGGACCTGCATTAATTCGTGCGGGTTTCTAGAAGAAGGCTCTACCAGTACTGTGTCGCGTCGTGTTCATCTGTGGCTATATTCGTATCAAAGGAACTGTCATTTCGCGTCGTTTTCAGTAGATGTCAGTTGTTTGAGCGTGAACAAAAATTTGTTTCATTCAATTGAAAATGTCGAAATTTGTACCAAATAAAGTGTTTTAGCGGAAATTTCTTCTTCATGCCCGACAGCCAAAAAAATTTCAAGACAAAGAATTGGAGACATCGCTCGACGCAGATGCATGCCAGATGCAAGAAGAACTTCCAAAAGTATTAGGAGTTGATCAAGCAATCGTTTCCACACGATTAAAATCATTGGGTTTCGAACGTCGATTCTGCATGCCGGAAATGTAGCTTCAACGCCACCAAAAGAAGTCATTCTTGCATCGGATTGTCACTGGCGTTGAAAAATGGATTCAATAGGATAACCCAAAGTGCAAGAGATTGTATGTGAAGCCCGGCCAACCACCGACATCCCCGGCAAAGCCGAATATTTATGGTGTCAAGGTTATGCTATGTATTTTGTGGGACCCCAAGAGTGTGCTCTATTATGAGCTATTGAAATCGCGTCAGACGATCAATGGGGACCTCTAACGAAAACATTTGATTCGTTTGAAAAAGGCCATCGTGGAAAAATGACCAGAATATGCGAACAGACACAAATCAATAATTTTTCATCATGACAACGCAGGTCCAGTTAAAAAATATTTGAAAAACTGCGGGTGCTCAGCTCAGACATAGCTCCTTTCGATTACCACTTGTTCAGATTAATGCAGAATGCCCTCACCGGAGTACGCTTCACTTCAGAACAGGGTACCAGAAATTGTTTCGATTCTTTCTTGACCTCCAAGCCGGAGAAGTTCTTCTGGGATGGGAACTACAAATTGCCAGAAAGATGGGCAAACATCGTAGCTTCCGATGGTCAATACTTTGAACATTAAATCTATAACAATTTTTTCACAATAAAGTATTAATTTTCGTAAAAAAAATCGCATGAATTAATGCATAAACCCAATACTAAGCCACCTCCGAGCGGCTGATCGTTTTTTATGAGGAGCTTTAATTTCATGTCAGAAATGCACTCAGAGGGGTGAAAGCAATTAGAGATTTTAGCTTAATTTTTTATTTAAATTAATTTTTCATAACTTTTGGATGCTGCTGGCACCGAAATTTGAACCCCCTTCCGAATGTCAGTATGCAATGCTAACCACTCGGCTACCGCGGCCGATAGTCGATCGATTTTACGACTCGAGATCAAATGCCTGGAAAAATGTTGCTCGTAATGTTTCCTTTCTTACTCATCTCAGCTTTGACGCAATCGCTTTAGGGTTGCCCTAGAACAGAATATCAACGGCGAGTTGAATGAAAGAGTTTTTTTTTCGTTATTTCGTTGGAAATGGCATCGTTTATTACGTTTACTCATTGTTTTTTCACTAATATGCGTTCCTATTTCAATTTACAAAGTATTTTGTGTTTTGTGTTTTGACGTATTTTTAAATATTTCTTGGCATCGCTTAAAACCTTGAAATATTTTTTTAAATACTTTTTTGTTTTTTTTTTTTTTCATTTCAACATTTTCAGTAGTATTTTTAGTAGTATTTTTTAGTAGTATTTTTTCAATAGTTTTTGCTAATTTTAACTATAATTCAGTTTTAATAGAAAGAGATTAGAGACTGCATTGATTGATTGAAGGAGAGAATATACAATAAATAGTAATTTTGTCTTATCGAATTTTTGTTTATTTTTGCTTTTTTGTTTTAGCTAAAGTTAGTTATTTTAAATATTAAATATTAAATAGTTCGCCTTCAAATGCATGGCTGCTGCATTACTTCTCATGTGCTTTGGTTTACCTATTGCTATAAAAAATATTTATGTAAAAAAATTAATTTAACTATTCAAAGTTAAAATTTAAATTTAAAATTAATAAAGCACTTATATGTATATATGTACATATGTATGTTTGTTGAGTGTTTTAGTATTATATAAGAGAGCCTTTATAAGATTTAGTACTTTTCAGTTAGCTTTGGTATCGTTTCGAGTTAAGAATTTCAATTTTCCTTTCTAATATATTATATATACATATATATTTTTATTTTACTTATACATATTTCATAGTACGAGTATATCTTTTATAATTATTAAATTCGTAAATATATATTTTTAACATAGTTGAATCAATGCAAACAGTTGTTTAGATTTTTAATTTTGTATATATGTATGTATTACATTATATGATAAATAGGTTTGGAGTTGTATTGCCTAATAATTTTCAAACGGTTTCTCGGGAAAATAAATCGTGAAAAGTATTATATAGAAAATTTATAATTTTTTATTATAATTACGAGGAGTTAAGACTAACCTTCACAGAGTCAAGCTATGTGCAATGTGGCAAGAAAAAAAAGCTGGCCAAAAATCGAGGTAAACAGAAGTTTCAATTTCTTCTAAGCCGCCCCTCCATAAACAGAACAAACGGCGTAATACTAACGGATACTGTCTTATGCGGGCTCATGGTAGAAGGCTGAACTGCTCTTCAAATGACTCTTACCGCAGCTGCAGTGATATAGATGAGGACCGATTCCTCCTGCCACTGTCCAGCTCTCGGTGCGGCTCGTTAACGTCTCTTTCAGAAATTTCTTCTTTGTTCGCCACGAAGAACTTACATCTGAAGGCATCATATTAATCTCTTGGACTTCATAAAATACACCAAATAGTTTGAACATCTGCAGAGGTTGGAGAAATCTCCTTCCTTCACAGGACCAAGATAAATAACGGGTTAGTAGGCCTAAGTACGCTTGAACAGCGCTTCGTGAACAAGCAACCTGTTTAACTAACTAACTGATACGATTTCCAAATCTTACTATGCTCAGCAGTTAGATTAAATTTATGAATGTTGGTAAATTAAGTCGAATAGCGGGTACCCTTTTCAAAAGCCTTTTTTTGACAGGACCCCACGAGCAATCATGTTATTTTTGTTTATTATTATTGTTTGACATTTTATCATGGAAAGACTTACGCCTGAACAACGTTTACACATCGTTCAACTTTATTACGAAACTTCACGGTCTGTTACGCGCCGAATGTACACAAAGACCTTGGATCATGAAGAGTTGATTCGGCGTCGTACGCATCAACTCGGACTGGCATATGGAACGACTTGTCGCATTTTACGCCGAGATCTTAAATTGAAAGCGTACAAAATACAGCTTGTGCAAGGACTGCAGCCACTCGATCTGATATCACCTCGCTCTATAGACTCTTGAAAACTTCCAAGAAGATCCGAAGTTTTCCAGTAAAATTTTTTACAGCGATGAGACCCATATCTGAGGCCCGTTTCTGGCTCAGTAGGTAAATAATCAAGCGAAATTCTCGCATTTGGGACGAAGAGCAACCTGGAGAGTTCCTCTGCTGCCATTTCATCCAGGAAAAACAACGGCTTGGTGTGGTTTGTGTGCCGGTGGAATCATCGGTACATATATCTTCAAAACTGATGCTGGTGAGAATGTAACCGTCTATAGTTAACCGACTATTTGATAATTGAAATTGACGCTCGTCTTCTCGGCGACATTTGGTTTCAACAAGATGGCGCCACTTCCCACATATCGCATCAAACGAAGGTTTTATTGAAAGAACACTTCGGTGATCAGATAATTGCACCTTTTTGGGTAGGTCGATTGGCCATCAATAGCAAACCGTTAGACTTTTCCCAATGGGAATATGTAAAGTCTTAAGTCTCTGTTTCGATTCAGGCTTTGGAGCAAAACATCACGCGTGTCATTCGCCAGTTATCAGTCGAAATACTCGAAGGAGTCAACGAAAATTGCACTCAACGGCTGGATCATCTGAGACGTAGCCCCGCCAGACATAGATAATCTTCAAAAAATAAATGCCACAGAATGCGCTTTCGAATGATAATAGACATTTCCCATTAAATTTGAATTTTCGGTGTATTGTCCTTAAAAAAGAAAGGAACCTCGAAATAGATCTGCCTTTTAAAAATATGATGTGATAAAACAATATTCTTGCCGCTTATAAAATATCCTTGAAATAACTAAAAAACTATAAGACTTGTTAGCATTTAGCGGGCGGCGGTCCTGCAGCAAGCGGCTCTCGGTTGTGCGCTGGGTTTGGGTTACGCCACGCAGAAACCAGCTTCATTCAAATCCATTAAAAAAGATTATTTTTTATTAAAAAATTATAGATTGTTTTTTTTTTTTTTTAAGTGAAGAGGGTAGCAGGAAAAAGACGAAACACTTTTAATCTCAGATAGCTATGAAGTCAACAGCGAAGAGAGGATGCAACTATGTACTTTTAGATTATTGTATCAGGATATTTTTTACATGTTCTATTTTTTTATATATATAAAAGTTCTCCTCAATATACTGATTACAAATCTTGTATATTTTTCCAAAAACAAAAAAAATCCTTATAGACCGGTTTTAAGATGAAAATCACATAAGAAAAATTCATAAATAATAACAATATTTTTAATGGACTTAAAAAACTTTGCAGACTTTACTTATGTCTTTTTACGTATTAGCAGAGGATTTAATTAATAAATAGGATTTATTTGATACTAATTGACTCATTAGAGTTGATAGTAATAGTTATTAGTTTTGTGGTAAAGGTGAATAGGGCTTAGGCATTTTGAATTTGGGAAATTTTAAAAAATATTTTTATAATCTTAGTATTAATTATTATTAATCAAGAAAATCACTTTAAGTTAGGCGTTGATGTTACGTTTTAGGTTAGCAGTGTTCATACGTATTTATAACAGTGTTATTTAAGTTCAATTCTCGTTACTACCACAACCTTGGCATTTTTAAGCAATTTAATTTTAGTAGATCCATTTAACACATAAACATTTTAGCAAGTGTCTGTGTGTATGTGTGCGTGAGCAATGTTAGCTTATATAAAAAATCACATAAAAACAATTTGTCTATATTTTCTATGTACTACATATATACAATAACTGCCACTCAGTTGATGCTTTGCATTTTAAGCTATGTTTCATACCATTGCGTATTTTTTTACTCGCATTTCATGTACAATGTCACCAATAAGACTTGTGATTCTTTGAGATTTCTCTCAATTTTTCGCTTATTTGTTATATATTCAAAATAACTCCTATATATGTATTAGTGAAAGTAGAAATGAAAAAAAAATTCAAATAAAAAGAAACAGTCATGTAAACAGTAATAAATCCCACTTCCCGGAGAGAATAGTAAAATTCATGCTCAGTGTTGCCTGATTGGGAACGACTAGCACACTTTCGAGGCTCAGTTGGATCACCTAACTTCGTATATGATATTTAGACTAAAGGAAAAAATAAAATGGAAACCAAAAAACTGTTAAACTCTAAACATTTATTCAAACGAAACGTTAAAACTAAATTACAATTTTTGTTTTTGAAAAAATAAATTAATTAAGTAATTAGTAATGATGGAGATAATTGATGGACTAACAGTAAAAGTAACAAGTAATCACTGTATACATCTAGTGAGTTCAAAAAGTGTGATTTTCAAAAAAAAAAAAATATATATTTTATGTTAAAAAGTTTTTAATTAAATATATAATTCTTTTTTATTAAAAAATGCATTTGGATGTTTATTTTCCTAAAGAGCAGCCGTAATGCGGTATTTTTTTTTACTAGGCGCGAACACTTTGTGAACTCACTGTATATATATAAATATAGGAATTTGCACTTATTCTCAAAGGTCTATACATTTAAATACATTTAAGTGTAATTACAATTAATGAACAAGATTTTAGCATATGTATACGCAGTTACTAATTTCTTTACAATATACATACATACATACTTTTTGAGTAGATTGAACCTTCAGCGATGTGAGGTGATGTAAGTAAATTCCTTTGTGGTCTTTCACATAAATGATTTAAGATTTAAATGCAATTTACCAAATATTTCTGTACATAACAGTGTTGATGAACAAGTAACGGTTGCCTTGCCATAATAATTTAATAAAATCTAGCTACGCTGGTTGTATATATGTACATACATATGTAATTAGGAAGGCAACAAGAAGGAAACTTGAGACGCACACAAGGGTTAAGGCCAAAATGTACACTGCGCGCTTACAATAATCGCTTCATTACAACAATAAAAAGCGCTAAAACAATTGAAACTACAAAACGAACGAACGAATGAACGAATGAACGAAGTAACGAACGAAAAGTCGAACTATGCAACACGTGCGTCTTAAATTATAGTACATACATACATACATACATAGGTGTATTTGGGTTAATGCGGTTTTGTGTGTTTTTGTATATGTATGTATATGTTTTCATTTAACTATTTATGTATATATGTATGTATTTATTACGCAACTAATTTTCTATCAATAATATCTATATTTGTATTGTTGTTGTTTGTTTGTTTTTTTTTTTTGTAAGTTTGCTCTATTGTTTTTGCATGAAGCCAGTTTGTGCTTACTTTTCGTATGAAACTCACATAAATACATACATACATACTACATACACAACAATTTGTTTGAAATCATAAATCACCTATTCATGTACTAGTAGTTACATATGTACATACATACATGCGTACATATGTACTACACGTATATAAAAAATCTAATTTTTCGGATCTAAAAAGGGCAGTCGGAAGCTAACGGGTTTCTTTTCGCTTGTAACGGCTGTTATGTTTCGTGTTTCGACACTCGCACCGCCGCTACCGTTCGGTGGCTGAATTGGCGTTATCCGTTGTGAACGATCAATATGTGGCGGCAGTTGTAAATTGATGGGATCGCGTAGACGGCGTAGATCGTATTCAGCTTCGGCTAACTCACGTTTCAATAGATTATACTTCTCAATGTCGAAATTCTTCCTTTTGGCCTTTTTATGCATGGTAATCAGGTATAGACGATCTCTAACGGTTTCGAAAGCATATTCCTAAAGTGAAAGAGGTGAAGAAAATATTTGTGAATATAAAAGTGATTAGAATTTTTTTGAATTATAGACATGCAATATAGTGGGTTATACATTCGGCGGTATCGAAAATACACGTAAATAAAAACAAAAAGCTTTTCAAATAATTTTTTTTCACGAAATTTTTTTTTTGATCATAAAGTTTGAACCATATATAATTCCTATAGCTCTTAAAAAATCCCCCTTTACAATATGTGAAACACCGCTGAGGTAATTTTCGACCAAATTTTGGCACATACCCAGCGGTATCTCGGACATAACTTGACGAATGTTGGCTTCTAAGTGTCCAAGAGTTAAAGGTTATTCGGCTTACACACGGTCTTTCGCGTAAACCCACATAAATAGCTTAACGGTGTCGAATCGCACGATCTCGGTGGCCAACTAACATCGCCAAGACGAGAGATTACGCTGCCGTGAAAATTCTCTTGCAATAAAGCCATATTCTCTCGTTTTGTGCGACATCTTATTGAATCCACATATTGTCCAAGTCGTTGTTCGTCAATTTTCGGCCAACAAAGCCGGTTATCATACGACCATAACGCTTCGACTTGACAGTGAGTTTCACAACTGTCGTTTTAAAAGAAATAAGGTCCAACCACCGATAGGGAATGTCAACCCCTCCGAGTGTATTTCTGACACGAAATAGCGCTGCACATCAGCAGTTTGGAGGCGGCTTAGTAATAAATTGTAGGTCCCTCGACTACGGAAAAAATATCACGACGCAAAACTACAACTTGGAGGAGGAACTCGGCCGAAAATCAGTTCAGCGTTTACAAAGCGCCTATTGCGAAATTTACACTCGCTGAAAATAAGGTCAGTTGCCTTTACAGTCATATAAAGCGGCTTTGGTAGCCTAGTTCTGATTCGACCAACATCCCAAAGTTATAGAAAATTAATTTAAATAAAAAACTAAGCTAAATTTTCTAATTGCGGTCGCCCGTCAAGCACTCTGATCTGGTCGGAATGTCAAGCACTATTACTGTATTTCGATAGAGAATTTAACGAAATGAAATAGTAAGCAACTTACCGATTTTGTCAGGCAGTAGTAGGCATATATGGCCATCGTGGTGCCATAGGTTACAAAGTATGTGACGGGTTCCATGATATCCCAAGAGTATTCCCACCATGTGAGACGCGCCAAAACGCCGAATTGAACCGCCATCAAGCTGAGGCCAACCCAGGTTGCAATAACAGTTTTACGTTCCGCAAGTCTAGCCAGTTCTTGCTTCTCCTATAAACACGAAAAAATATATATGTATGTAATAATATATTGAGATTCACATATAAATATTTCCAAAGACTTACCATTTCTAAGGGTGATATTTCAAATTTTAAATTTTCTATCTTTTTCACTAGCTCCTGCTCCTTGTGCAAATGATATTCGCCGACGTGTAAAGCTTCATATAACTATAATGATATGAGATTTAAATACTTGTATATATGTACATTATATCGTTAATGATTTAAGCCACACATACTTGTGCTACTAAAGTTCTAACATCACTAAGCCTCTGTAAGTCTTCTGAGTCCATTTTTTTCCTTTTAGGAGGGTTCACTTCATATTTGTTGTCATTTATTTGTAGCCTACGATATGAGCATAAATTATTTCTTAGAATAAATATATATGTGTATGCATGTATTTGCTTTCTTTAGTCATGAAATGTGTATACTTCACTTTACTTACCAAAATGGCTCATCCATAAGGCTATCGATGGCACATGTGGACGCTATCCGTACACCACATTTGTTCAGCACAACCGCTCGATCTATACCGTGATCTTCAATTTTCAACATTTCGATTAGATCGCCTACTTTCTGCGACACAGGCCTTAAAGCAAATCGACATTTTTCCAATCTGCTTGGCAGCGGCACTGTCAGGTGTGGAAGTCCTTGTATATATTCGACATAAACATCGCCTGTAAAATACAAAACATGCCAAGTTAAAATCTGAACGATTATTATGAAGGTCTATTTATTTTACTGAAGTGGGTTTTCCACGCACTACATAGCCCAATGGGTGGTCGTACGAGCAAGATAATCACACATAAAAACAATAAAAATTATCAAAACACAGAGGTGGAGAAGAATCCCTGCAGGGCCAATTAAATAGTATGGAATCACACCCAAATATTGAAGTACTTAAAATAATGTTGATCCCGACATAGTTACGATAGCCGAGTGGTTAGAGATTACGCGGTTCGAATGTCACTAGAAGCAAATCACGGCTGAGTTTCATTTCTTACAAAGTTCTGTTGAAGAAGATGAATAGCGTAGTGGTTAGAGGTCATCACTGTGGTCGATACTCGCAGCAGGCAAACTGTCTTTAAATTCTTATTTATTTATGTTGTTTTGGTGGAGTAGAAATTGAACATGCCTAAATGAACTGGTATACAACTAGTTCAAAGCTGATGAAAAATCGAACACTAATCAGCTCGCCGTGGAAACCAGATGGAAGATGAACAAGTTAGGGCAAAACTGCATACCTGTTGGATTCTAGTTTTTTTGCTGCAAGAATGTGTCCAGGAGGTCTCCCAGCAGTGTTCCTAGCGAGTGGTAGCCAACAATTCCGCCATAGACAGCTGAGTCTTTTATTAAGCTCTACGAGGGAGAGGAAATTTTGAGCCAGCACTAAAGAGTGGAACCATTTGGCAGTGAGTGAGGAATAGAGAACTAACTTTATTTTAGTTCAAGACGGCTCTGGCAGATTAGGTGTCGTCTGAGTAAGAATCAAAAAGTTCAACCTAAACTAAACTTCGTGCCGATGTTATTATTACATTTTAGCCTAAATAAACGATATTTTTTTGGACATGTAGCCGCCAAAAAGGAACGAAACGCATATAAATTAATGTTATGACCAAAAATTCAGCTTTATTATAACGAAATGATTTCGGTCAAGTAACAGCCGCGGTTAGCTCGAATAGATTCCGATAGAGAGGATCAATTTACGACCGCTTTTTGCAGCAATCGGTACGGTATGTCAGCAATAATGCGAAAAATATTCTCTTCTAATCGTCTCGCGCTTTTCTCTGAAGACAAGTGGCTTCACTTAGCTCCGCTGAAAATAGACCAGGGTGGTTAAATTGTACGGTCTTGAAGGCTGGGCCACAGTCTCAAGATGCGAGATAATAAGCGCATTAAGGCTGTCCTTCAAGAAATTGATTTCTTCGTTGGTTGGATGGCATGTGTCGCTGTGTTCTTAATACCAATTCAGGCATGAAAAAGTCATTAATCTATAGCGATCCGCATTGTCTGTACAGCATGGGCGACTTCATTTTTGAAGAAATATGGGGGAATGGTTGCCTCTATTCATGGAGCGCATTAAACAGTAACTTTTTGTGGATGTATGGCGTCTCCATAATAACTTGTGGATTATCATCACTCCGATTGCGACAATTTTCTTTATTAACACACCCAATCAACCCAAAATGAGCCTCATCGCTGAACAAACTTTGTTTTGTGAAAGTAGGGATCGGTGGCCATCTCGTTTTGGGCTCATTCACCCAACGTCGGCTTCAATTCTTACTCGAGTTGGATTTGTTAGTCCGCAAGCCAAATCTTCCATAAAGTGGGCCATTGCACTAGGTTTGCCCCTTAAGTGCCTTTGACTGCTCACTTATAAGTCGCCCCTCGTACAAAACCAAATGCAAATAATTTTCTGTTGATTAAGAAAAAAACAATTCACTTTACAACAATGTACTAAATACCCCGCCCAGTCAACAAAGAAATCATTTTCGATAACTCACAGTTGCATATAAATAAATGTGGGGCCAGGTGCATTGCCACTTTTATGGTGTGAGCAAGGTTTCTTGCAGCACCAAAAGTCAAGGTTGTCGGCGGATTCGGATTGGTCCAAATAAGAAATTTAATTGCTCAACTATGGAAGTACAAGCAAAGATGTTTTCACATGCCTAGATACATATGTGTGTACATATGTATGTATGTTATTTATATAAAAGTTCTCATTGCTCTCTAGAGCACGACTCGTCAGGCGGAATTCGAATGAAGTTTTTAATTTGGATCTCGCATGTTTAATTATCATTATTAGTTGGCAGCTGGGCCAATATGTGCTATGTATGTACTCATATCTATGTACATATGTATGTTTAAGAATAAGTGGTAGGCACATATTGGTTAAGTAATGCAAATTGGGAGCGCAAGCACTTTTATATGTCTTGGCATATACGAGTATATACTTATTTACTTATGTTTTAATATTTATTTGGGTTTGTTAAATATCAAATCTTTGAAGTTATAATAGAATATAAATAACGGTTAATTAGCTACAATACAAAAGTGAAATTTGAAAAAAATATCAAGCGATAATTCCATTCCAGTTAGCTCCATGCTTAAATCATCTTAAGTTCACTGAAATGATAAACAGAGAGAGAAGTGGTGTTAGAAATAAGTATTACCATTACCATGCAACATGGGTAGAAAAGACGTCTTCTATGAGGACTTTGCAATATACACTTTTTTAAATACTGAGGGACGTTTAAAAGCGTTCACTTGGCTGGAGTTAAGTCTAACCTAAAACGTGTCGAATCGTTTATGCGACGAACCTGTCGGAGCTGAATGAGGAAATTCATGCCTTGAGCGCAAGGTTGATAGAGATACTCTGCAAGACGGTTTCCTGTCCTTTCTTATGTGGATCTTAATCCTGACTTGCTTAATAAACTGGTAAGTAGTGCCTACGCAAATGACGTAATCCTTGCGGTTCTTACTTTGTGTGACTTCATGTGCTGGCAACTAAGTGTGATAACTAATTGGGTAACCAAAATAGTATTGCCATTAAGTTCCAGTAAAACAGAACTTCTCTAATTCAGAAGGTATGAAATTCCGAAAGCCGCTGACCCCTCGATAGGGTTGTACGCCCTCATTTGCACGGAAAAGTGAAATATATGGGGACAATTTTGGCCGTGATGGGACTGGATGGGAAATATCGCAGATGGAAAGCAGGAAACAACGGTAGCTGCATACTACTGCCGATTTGCAAGATACGAGGTCTTTTTGTTAAATTATTGTCTTGGATCTATTTAACTATAGTCAAGCCAGTCTTGTTTTACAGAAACCGCTTGAAAAAACTACGTTAGGCAAGCAACATAAAATCGTTTAACGCTCGGCTTTCATCAACATCTGTTGTACATTGTCAACTACTTCAATTCTGGTGCTTAACGCCATATATAATATAGTGTTTGTGGATACCGCAGGTAGATCTATCGGTGTAAGACTCGGGTGGTCTAGACCTCCATCATCAGATTCGCGGATAAATATATCAGCGAGCTGGTACCGAGTGCCTTCTTGTACACCATAACCTTTTCACGGAGGGACTGCAGGTGGCAGAACCATTGAAGGAAGGGAGCACTTGACTTCTTCGCTTTACATACGTGAAGCCATATGATGAGCTCAAAAACTATGAATGAATGCTTGTCATCGCTGCCTGTTGCGTCGACTTATATCAGAATTAAAAGAATTTCAAGGAGCCGCAATGCTGACTTAGGAACTGGCATTAGATTGTAGGTTCCTAGTCCAAAGTAAGTTTAGAAAAAAGTGTTACTATTTAAGATGCTTAGAAAACCATCTTGGATATGCTGATATGCAGGGCGTATAGGAATGTTAAAAACTCTGTAATTCACAACGATCTCAGGATCAACACCGTAATAGAGGAAGCAGAAGAACTGCGCAAAAATACTTACTAATTAAAGTTATCGAGCCCTCCAGACAACAGAACTATCCCAAACGATAAACGAGAAAGGATTTCTACCTTCATGATATTTCTTATAATTTACTGTATGCCATCCTTTATGACATCTGTTTTGGGAAATTGCACAATTTAAGTACTTGGTATCCCTAATGATTCAGTTTCCTTTGTTTATCACTGCACAGCTAATAGTTAACTTGAATAATGCATAACAACTAGTTTAATATTTACTTAATTATTGCTAATATCTGAAAGGAATGGTTCAATAAAGTACAATACTTTAAAAAAAAATAAAATATTTTTCTAATTCCGGAGGCGAATGTGGCAAATAAGAATGTGAGGTAAGAAGAAAAGGCCAATAACTAAAGCTTGTTCTATATTTTTGCCATATTTGGCAAATGGCAAATGCATCACAAATCCTCCGTTCGGGAGATTTTTTACTCAAAGATAAGCCACATTCGGGTCGGTCAAGTGAAGTAGGATCGTCATGTAACTAAGCGTGAGATTGGAGAGAAGTTAAGTGTACAAAAATCAACCGTTCATAATGATATGCGAAGTCTTGGACTGGTAAAAAAAACTTGATATTTGGGTACCACATGTATTGAAAGAAATTCATTTAACACACCGAATCAACGCTTGTGATATGCACCTTAAACGCAAAAAATGCGATCCGTTTTTAAAACGAATCATAACCGGAGATGAAAAATGGATTGTTTACAACAACGTTAGTCGAAAACAATCATGGTCCAGGCATGGTGAACCAGCTCAAACCACTTCAAAGGCTGATATTCACCAATGTTTGGTGGGATTGGAAGGGTGTCGTATATTTTGAGCTGCTTAATTCGGATGTTTACTGTCAACAATTGGACAAATTGAATACAGCCATCAAGGAGAAGCGGCCAGAATTGGTCAATCGTAAAGGTGTCATATTCAACCAGGGCAATGATAGACCGCACACATTTTTGGTCACTCGCCCAAACCAGAGGAAGCTTGGCTGGGAACTGTTGCTGCAATCCACCAGTGCTATAGACCTTGCGCCGTCAGACTACCATTACTCGTAGTTTCAATCCTTACAGAACTCATTAAATGGTAAAACTCTCTTAAATGACGAGGCTACGAAATCGCACTTGGTTCAGTTTTATGCAGATAAAGACCAGAAGTTCTTTGAGCGTGGAATAATGACGTTGCCGCAAAGATGACGAAAGGTCACATCACACA